CATGGTGACATTCACTGCGAACCCAGCATAGCCTGAAATACAAGAAAACCTACTCCCAGGACAAATTGGAATGGATCGCCCAGACCTGGTCAATCGTGTCTTCAAAAATAAACTCAAACATCTCCTAGCCGACATAAAATCGCCGAGCATTTTCCGGAAATGCCAATACATGATGTATGTCATCGAATACCAAGCCAGAGGTGTTGTACATGCTCATATCGTTGTCAAATATGACGGACAGAGTCCTGAACAAAAAGAGCGAAGTAGACGACTGGATTTGAACAAACTTGCCAGACCCTTCCATTGCAAACGGTGAGCTCCGTGAAAAAGTGCTAAAATACATGGTCCACAAAAAATGTGGCAGATTTAACCCATCAGCTCCATGTATGAAGACCAATCCCATAACAAAGAAAACATTTTGTCAAAAGCGCTGCCCCCAGCCTTTTCGTTCCTCTCTCCAAACCAACAACTGCGAAAGAGCGGAATACAGGTGCTTAGACAACGGTGACAAGGCCACCATCAAATCCAAGAACGGCGAAAACAAAACAGTTGACGCAGAAATCGACAATAGAGATATCGTCCCGTACAATCCCTATCTAGCAATGAAATATGATTGCCATATTTGCTTTGACTTGGTCACGGCCAAAGCAGTAATTGCTTATTTATACAAGTATGCGTACAAAAAAGAAGACTCTGTTCGCGCAAGAGTAACGTACAAAGACAACGAAATTGAGACATACCGTAGTGTCAGGTACATTTCCAGTTCAGAAGCAATGTGGCACATTTTCGGTTTCCATACCCAAGAAAGAACGCCTTCGGTCAATCTCCTTTATGTCCACCTCGAAGGCGAACAGCCAGTTGTTCACGATGAAGCGGACGAACCTGTCGAACGACAAGCTGCCGCTGACAATGCCGTCTCCGACCTCATGAAATGCTTTGGACGTCCAGCGCAACCTCAATGTGCCCAATTAACCTTCCCTCAGTATTATGAGCAATTTTCGGTCTAAAAAGAACAACGCCAATCAAAACGAACGCGGTCAAACGACGACGACGACGACGGCAACGACGTCTACTGTTCCACACTTTCGGGACCGATACAGGAATTACGTTTACCTCAAGTCAACCTTCAACGTTAGTTGGATACAGTACATGAGTCCTGATCAAGGAGATATTTGGCTCTTGCGGTTGTTACTTTTAAACCGACCGGCTTCAAGCTTCCGTCGATTGAGATCAATCGTCGGTATTGAATACAACACTTACGAACAATGCGCAAGAGACCTAGCCCTCGTGCACGATACGAACGAGTACGCCATCTGCATGCAAGAGGCCGCACAGTATCATAGTTCATGGCGCTTCAGCACCGCAACTGTGGGAGCAATTCCAAACAGATTTGACACTCGATTTCGCACCAACTACGACAGCAGCAGCATCCATCGACGCATCTCTTAAACACATTGACCTCATGCTCAACAAACACGGCCGGCCCACAAATCAGTTCGGCCTTCCAAATGTGAAACACGACAACACCGAATTCGATCGTCTCGTCGGTGCATTTTCAACGTCAGAGCAGGAAGAACTTTGTTCTCAAATGACGCCACGACTAACTCAAGAACAACGGAACATCTTCGACACAGTCACGACCAGCGCCATGGAAAATAAGGGCGGTGTATTCATGATAGATGCGCCGGCCGGCACAGGAAAAACATTCACAGAATGCGCCATCGCAGCCCACTTGCGAGCTCGTCCTAAATTAGTCCTGTGCGCTGCATCAATAGGCATAGCTGCCCTTATCTTACCTGGCGGTCTCACAGCCCACAATACTTTTAAACTGCCGTTTGGAGACGATGCCATAGAGGGCAGCGTTTGCAACGTCCCAGCTGAGTCCGAGCGTGCGGACGTCCTCAAAAAAGCGTCATTAATTGTTTGGGATGAAATTGTGATGTCCTCAAAGTTTGCCCCAGAATCACTCCACTCCACTCTTCAAGATCTACGTCAATATGACTTGCCTGGAGGGAAAACTAATCTTTTCAGCGAAGATTGGCGTCAAGTTGCTCCAGTTCTACCGTTCGGAACTGAGAGTGAAATTGTAGAACGTGCTTTCCTGTCTTCCTACTTATGGTCACAAGTGCATCGCTTCGGCCTTACGAAGTGCATGAGAGACAAAGATGATATCCCTTACGCGAAATCTGTCTTAGCTGTTGGTGAGGGTAAAACTGAACCAGTTATCTTAGACGATGGTACCGCCGCCATTTCATTGCAACACACAGTCAAAAACGAAGATGGTTCCGAAGCTACATGTTTATTGCGGGAACACCGGAATTTGAAGACCTCATCCACAAAGTTTACCCCGATCTTTTAGAAGCCAACCATAACATCTTGAACGACCGTGGCATTCTGGCACCGACGAATGATAACATTGACCAGATCAACGACTTCATCCTTGGTAAAATGCTTGGACGTGTGCACGAACAACTTAATTCGAACAAGATCATCAAGGACGACGAAAACATGCCAGGTGTTGTTTGCGTGGAATACCTCAATAGCATCAACGTCCCCGGCACACCACCGCACAAACTCAACCTCAAAGTTGGCGCATTGATCTTCTTCATCAGGAACATCAACTTTGACTGCGGTCTCGTCAATGGCAAGCGTGGCGTTATTCGAGGAATTTCAACGCGCGTTATCGACGTCGAAGTTCTCTCCGGTGAATCTCCCATCGTTAAAATACCACGTACCTGCTTCGATGTCAAAGTGGGATCGCGTGGTACTACATTTCACCGTTACCAATTCCCTGTTAGATTGTGTTACGCCATACAACAAACAAGTCTCAAAGACACAACTTTGAAAAGGGTCGGCCTCGACCTCAGAGGAGACGTCTTCTGCCACGGTCAATTGTACGTCGCCGTCAGCAGCACAACATGCAGGGACAATATCCTATGCCTCGTCAACAATGATCGTCTCGTCAGCGACGTCCCCCACGTGCACAACGTCGTCTTCTCTGAGTTTATCATTGCAGCCACTGGTCAACCTCCCCCAACGTTTGACGTTCAACTACCTCGTCATGGCCACGGCAGTGGACGCAACAATGTCAACAACACCCCAACCAATGAACGGCAACAACAGCAATGGTGGTACGGCCAACCCCGGCAACAACAACAATAGCGGCAACAACGGGAACAACAACAACCAAGGATCTTGGCAAATTGTCAACGAAATCGGTGATGGAGCATGCCTACCACGATGCATTGCCCGTCGAGTTTTCAACGACCACAACATGCACCACTTAGTCAGAACACAGCTCATCGACCACATCAACGACAACCTCCACAACCCCATCCCAGGTTCTGGAGGAAACACTTCTTTCAACTCCATGTTTGCTGGAATACATTCAGAGAACATTCAAATAGCTGGTCGACCTCAACAGACCTACCAAAATGTTCCAGAGTACCTCCATCTCATGGCGGATCCAACTGCCTATGCAACCCACGTCGAGATTGCAGCTGCCCAACAGTTGTACAACCTTAACATAAGAGTTACCCTCGTCGGCCAACCCTTTCCACCTCCTCCGTCCCATGACACATGCGATGTTTTGTACGGGGGCGAGCACTACCGAACTTTGAAATTTAATCCATGATTTCACTACTTCCTTTCCAACTTGCGTCACCCCCAGGGGGGGCTGACACCAACGTCCCGAAAGGGGGACCTTGTAGTCTATGAAGACTGTAAACAATATGGACACACACAACACCCGCTCCAGCCGGGTTCGGTTGGCGTAGATTTGAAATTAATAGAGCCAAGACGTCATGGTGCAGCAGCCGGGGGTATCGCAAGGGTTGAAGTGTTCCACTCTAGTGTGAGCTTACAGTAGCTGAGCACTGCCAACCTCTCCGTCGATTAGTCTACTCAGGAAGCACTGTCGGGCGTTTGGAAACGTATCGATTGGCCAAGTGACGTGGGAACGAGGATGCGAATGGCCGCACGGCGAATCCTGCACATAGCATATCTGCGCCGTCAGTTTAAGAACTTACTCGAATTGCCTATGCGGGTCATCCTCGGCGTATATCTTCTCCAAGGTCTCCTTGTTCAATTCCCTGTTCTTGCCGCCCAAGCGGCCGGATATACTCGACGACTCGCCCGGGCTGCTGGAGTCACCCCCTTGCTCGCCTCCGTTGTCAAGGTTAAATTCCACCATGTCGTCAGTTGTGCAACTCTTCACTCCTTCTGGCTTTATGCTGGCCGTGTTGGATCGACGTCTCGTCTGGTGGGCGTCTTCTCCGCTGTACTCCTGTCGTCGAAGGTCGTCGAAGACCTGAAAACTAAAACCGAAAACGCGGCCTGTTTTAAGTTTCGCTTCGCGCGAACCAGCTGGGAACTTCCACGTATGTTGTGTTCTTATCTGCGCCCCCCCCGTCCCTGCTTGAAAGCGCGCTGGCCCTTCCGTCTCCCTCAACACGCAGGTCGCCGGCCAGCTCCCGCCCAGCGAGGAGAACTCCTGCCTGATCGTCACCCATTTATCCTACGAGGGTGGGTTGTGACAGGCTCTTGAGAGCAGTAGCACGGTCCGGAATAGCTTCATAACAAGACAGGAGACAGCAAGCCCGCCTTGCACACCCAGCAGCGAACATGACGAGAGGTCGTGGGGTTCTGGTTGCAGCCGCCTTCGCCACAACAGCAACGTGGCCTTCGTCGACCCCTGGCCGTAGCACCAGCAGTGCTTGGGGATTCCTTGCAGCTGCGCCGCGATCCGCCAACTGCCTGGCTGCCAACAAGAGGTCGGACTCTTGCCGCTCTCGCCTGTGCGGGTCATGGTCTGCTGCAGACGCAGCAGCTTCCACACGTCAACAGACCAGGGGTAGGGCGTATAACGCGCAATGCTTGCATGCGAATGCTGCTTTCAAAGAGAGCGGTGCGTACCCAAGCTTGGACGCAAGAAGAGAAAGAGGAGGCGAAGCCTCGTTTTTTGCGTCTAGGTGCTGTAGCGGTAGCAGCAGCAGCCGAGCCAGGCTGCTGCCGTTACCAAGTAGAGCAACAGGTGGAGATGGTGGAGACGGTGGGCTGGGAGGGATAGGCCTTGATGCCGAGAGCGTGGCGCGAGCTCGCGAGGCGGCAAAGAAGGATGACTACGACTGGTTCATGGAATTTATCGGGGTTGACGAGGAGGAGGAGGACGGCGGCAGTAAAAGTGTCGGTGAGGACAACAGCGGAGGGAAAGCAAGTGACCGCTCTAGTAGCAACAACGGCGGCGGGGTTGTAGACGGAGCAAGCAGCGGCACACGACGAGCTCCAACCAGCACCAGCGGGCGGTACAGCAGTACCGGTGGTGAATATGACAACGGTTTCGTTAACGATATCACTGGCGGCCGGCCCCCTCGTCGGGGTCGCCCCCCGGCACCAGGACGAGGTTTCCAACCCCGCTCAGGCGGCGTTGGCGCAACAGGGGGAATGAGGCGAGAAAGACGAACTTCGTCTGCGGATACTGCCTACGACTACGATTTGGACGAAGAGTACGATCAGGAACCAGGGAGGGGGGGGTGGGACTACGACCCCGGGCTTTCGGCGGGGATTGGGGCACGCCGGCGAGATGTGCAAGTCGACAAGGTGCGTAGTTGGAGAATCCAGCGATTAGCCTGAGTACAGTGGTGTGGGTTGGGCAAGTGGGGAGAGTGTTGTGCAGTTGTTCGGCACGAAGCAGCGGAAAGATAATTTGAAGATGACCGACCTCGGAGGATTATTTTCTTTTTCCGTGTCACACAATTTTTCCGACGCCTACCTAGGTCCGCGCTAAGACCAAGTCTGCCTCGATGAGGCGGCCGCTCGAGGACGACCAACAGTCGATGGAGGCAGAGCAGGAGCAGGAGTTTGCCGGAAGAGCGGTTGAATTTGAACCCGTTGGCTCTAAAAAGGTGACTTGTTGTCATGTTTTTACTTAGCAAGGAGACAGTGGAGAATGGTTCTGCACACATCTCGGTTGAGCGTCCGCACTGGGTGGGTTTCGAGAACAGTGGAATGGAGCAGAGATAGGATTCTACTGTCGTTCAGAAACAGTCCTAACGGAACACAATATCTTCGGTCGTTGCCTCGTGTTCGCCTGCACATGGGACGTGTTGCTTTGTGCGTGAACCTCCATCTATGCACTGCGTCGGGCCGCCCTTTGCACCGTTCGTCTGTTTCGTTCAGCCGTGTGTGCGCCACTTCGCTCAGCAATCGCGAGAAAACGGTAGAGGCGCCACACGGGGAGAACAGGTTTACACGCAGGGGCATTGCCTGGCACATCATCTGCCACTCGCTGTGTGGTTTTTGCGTCTCTCGTATTGTTCGACACGCATATATGGAGCTAACCAAGCGCGTCACTCAACACACGAAAATCTTATTTCACGTCCTGGCAGCACTGCACCGCACCTCAACACAAACCGTTTCGAATCATTTGGTGTCTCAAACACGCCTTTGGCCCATTCCGCGCAATCGTTTGTGTATCCCAGGCGAAGGCGTTAATAGAAGACCTTGGCTACACTGAGGCTGAGGTGGCCTGTATCGACCCGGACATGGCCGACCTAGCCATCGAGCGCGCGATTCGCAGGCCGGCCTCCGGCATGCCGCGGGACTGGGTTGCCGTCGGTATGCCACCACCGCCGCCCCCACTCCCCTCCTCCACCGCCCCAGCTCCCTCCTCTTCTCAAACTTTCTTCGGCGGAGGCGCTACCGCTGCCGCTGAGGATGTTGTCAGGACCAGCAGGGGAAGCGGCGACCGAGGTGGTGTCGTCGACGACGGTTCACTCGATCTCGACGCGATCCTGGGGTGAGTTGTTTGTCTCATTTTTGTTGTGGCAAGAACTGGCGAACTCGCGTCAGCAGCGATTTTCTTCCAAAATTTTTTGGTCGACTGGTTGTTTCGTGTCCGTGCCCTGCTAGATGTCGAGAAGGAATGCTGTGTGTTGCTGGTTGGAGCAAAACGGAAAATCGAACCAGCACCACTCACACTCGGCAACAGCCTTCTCGTTGCTAGGTTGATCAGCCATCAAACTAGTTTCGAGCGATGCCGTTAATCGTGAGTGCTGGTGTTTCGCACCGCTTTAAGGGGCACGCGATGGGTAAAGGCTAGACAAGTTTTAAGTAGTCATCCTCGAGAATCTCTCAACGAGGTCTCGTGTATCATTGCTGTGGAGGTACTGAAAGCTCCAAGGAGGGTTCTAGTATCACCTGGATGGACGACGTAGAATCCGGCAAGCAAATATCAGCCGCCGACAGACCAGGGATGGAAAGAAACAAAACGCTGTTGGAACGCTTGTTCTTCGTATTCCTCGTCGTTTCCCCTGTCACGGAGCTTAGACATATGTTGCAAACAACCAGAGTGGACATTTTACTTTATAGAATATTGTACCTGAGTTTGCGAAAGCGGTCTCATACGCGGTAGCACTGAAACGGATGGACCGAAACCTGTCTTCTTGGTGTTATTTCAAGCAGCGATGGGTATGACTACAACGGGGTCGGCGGCAGGAGACGGAAGGGAACACGCCGCAACGGTTCCCGCAACACCGCGGGTGGTTGGAGAGACGAAGAAAGGAGGAGGGGGCACAACTACTATTATGATGACGATGAGGAGGCTCCGCATTTGGGAAGGGGGGGCATGTACGATCGGGAGGAGGACTTATTCCCCCGCGGCCGGGACGAAGGTAGAGGGAGGGGGCGTCGCGAAATGGACGGCGGTGTGGGCGGTCCTAGGGGGCAGAGCAAGAGACCGCGGAGGAAAGAAAGAACCGAGATTAGCCCAGCGGAGCGGTACGAGAGGCAGATTTTTGGAGAACTAGGGGGTGAGGATGGCAAGGGTGCTGGTAACAGGCGGGCCCTCTGGGATGAAGACGATGAAGAAGATGAAGGGAAGCTTTGGACGGGGGTTGGCCCTGACGGACCTTGGCCGACGTGAGTTTATGTTCTGAATCTAGCATGTTGAAACATCACCGGGTGGGTGCCCCCGGTATGTCCGGCTTTGTAGACGTGCGAAGGAGGGTAAACCGCAATCGGTCCCTTCCCAGCGATTGCCAATTGCACGTTTGGATAAATTTCAACTGAAGAACAGCGCGGACTTCAGGCACTTGGAAGTCATGCGTGGTCGTAGTGTGGAACCAACTGCGAGATGGTGAATACTTCGGTTTTTGCTTGGTGCTTTATGGCGAATGCTATCCTGATATCTCTCAGAAATAGGTATTTGTGAAATACTTTTTTTTAACCCAAGTAGATCCAACCCGCGTTGAACTTGTGAAAAATCGCCCAACCTAACGCACACCACCGAGTTTACGGCTGAAGTATGCCTAGCTCAAATGTGCTGCTTACGGTTAGCTCGTGTAGCGGCAGACACACAGCCCCGCCATTCCCTGCCCAATATAAACCCAATCAACCTGCGCCACCGGCTCACCCTTGCCCGGGGCCGAAATGAGACCAACTCGATACGAACCTGAACATGTATATTTCAAACGCCACCTAGGATGGAGGAGTTCACGAAGCTACTGCGGGAGGAGACGGAGGTGCGGTTGAGCCTAGTTGGACCATGGGCGGCAGAAGTGGTGGCTTTGGAGAACCGGTTCCGGCTACAGGTGGGACGTCCCTGTCACCCTAGACAATGTCTGGCCCAGCAGTGCAAATTTGGCTATTGTGTCATACAATACATAGGAGGAGGGTTTGTGTGCGATTGGAGTGCAGAATCGTTGATGGAAAGTATCCGCCTTGAGGGATGAGACTAGGACTGCACGTCGTAAGGGGTGTCCACGGACATCTTCACCGACAGATGGGTTAAATGTTTGGGTAGATGATCGCGCGTTTTTGTCGAGACATGACTTCAGGGGTCAATCGCCACAGTGGGTGGAGAAACAGGCTTCGCCTAAAAGCGGTCGAGGTTTTTTTCGTAACAATTTTGGTGCGTTTTTCGTTCATTCGTTGAGTCACTCATGGAGATGACGTTTTTGAGGTCTCTCTCGTTCGGCAGTATTTATTTTGGGCACAAGGCAGACTTTTGTGATGTCTTACAGCGTGCGCGAACTGCCCCCCTGTCGTTGAAGGCTTACGAGAAATGGCTGGAAGTCCTGGACAAGGGGATAGGCGAGACACTGGAGGAGGCGGGGGTCTTCGACGCCGCTTTCACGGACGACGATGACTACGATGACGACGGCAACACCGACGGTCGAAGCAGAACAGCCCGTCGTCGCTCCGGCACGAACAACCTGTACGACGATTACACCAGCTACGGCTACGGGCAAGATGCGGATGTGCGGGGGGCCGGTAGAAGCGGGTACGACGTCCAGGGTCAGCGAGACGAACGGGGGTTCGACTACGATGACAGGTACGCTTTGTAGTCGATGGAGAGGGTTCCGGTGGTGGGCGGGTGAGAAGTGGATGTTGACGTGTTCTGGGCGGGAAGTAGAAGTCGAGGCAACAGTAAGATCGACTACTGCTTAGGTGAGTGCTATACCACTTGGAATGTTTCGTTTCGTTACCCCGTCCGTTCTGGCATCAGTGTACACCCTTTGGTACATGGTTCACCCCAAGCCGGGATCACACGGAAGGTACACTGGATTTTCGTTTTCCTCCGCCTTTAGCTCCTGCAGACGTTTCTGCTTGTGTTTACCGACAACCTTACGTGTGCGGTTTCCAGATTGCGATATTGTCAAGCCGGACAGATCAGAACACGCAATCTATTGAGAGGACCAACTCAGCCAGGGTGGCGTGCTCTCTATAAGAACACGTGTCTTCTTGAACCAAGCACGTCGTACACCTCTATTGCCGTCTGTTATTGACTCGAACACGTGTAAGGTTCGAGGGAGGAGAAGGTAACCGAAGGCAGCGTCAGCGCCGTCAAAGGGGGTGGGGCGAGGACACGGGGCCCAGCAGGCGGAAGTTCGACGTGGGAACCTTCTTACGGAGCGGGGCGCAAAACATCATGCAGCCGGGAGCGGGCATGGAGGAGAAGGCAGCGCAGTGAGATAGCGATCTGGTATTTTTGGTAGCCTGTCATTCTTTCGTCAAGGGTACAGAATTGGTATGCCGGTGCGCACGAGCTCTATATTTTTGCTCGAATACGACCTGATTTGAAAGTCGCTTACATCCGACTTCTAAGCAGAGGCCAAAGTGCGTCCATCCCATCTATTCTGGGGCCAGTCTACACACATTTCAGCGTATATGTTGAACGCATCACCCGGGGTCACACAGGAGATTTATACAAAGTACGATTTTTGAGAAACTCTTCTCCCTGTTGCCTACTCGTGCACCTTCCCGTAGATTCGAGAGGAGATATCCCGGCCGAACAGGATCGAACTACGACGATGGTGACGACAGCGCTGCTTCTGCCGGTAGCCCGGGCGGCAGAAATAACGACGACGATTCATTCGGCCGGCGAGGACGGACACGTGGAGGGGGAGACTACGACTACGACGATGACGTTCGGGGGCGAAGGCGTGGGAGGGGAGGGGACAGAGGGGGGTCGTCCCCAGGTTACTTGGACGAAGACGAATACGACTACTGAAGCGCTTGTTGCGGACCAGTTCTTCGCTGGGTTGCGGTGTGAACCGGTGTTTTTCTAGAGATGTAAGCTTTTTGAGTGCTCCCCGCCGTCCGCCGGATGAGGACAGTTGGGTTTCAGCCTATAATGGCCTCCCCTTGTGGTTTCGTTAGCGGTTCATGAAAACTGTCGTGGCATTCAATATCCCTCGTACGCTGTAACGTCTAGACCGCGATGGTATCCCTTTCGGAGTTTTTTTAAGAATTCATCGCTTTTGGCTTGCTGCGGACGGGCTGCTTGGAGGGCAGGCTGTTCGGCGAGATGCACGCACGAACGATGGCGAGCTGCATCTCGAAGGTCGTGCGCAGGCCAGGCTTCGGCGCCTCTTTCACACCCTATAGGGTTCTATTATCTTCGCTTGTTTTTGTTTGGCTGATTTTGTTGGCACCGTGTGCCGTGCGGGAGCGGCGAGCCCTATTGTTTTATGCACATTCACTCCATGTCGCCAGTGATGTCTGGCTGTTTAAGTTTTTATTTGTTTTTCGCGTTTGTGATGTTATTGTGGGTCCTTTTCGCCTTCTTCGATATTTCGAAGTGTGTACCATTTTGGGGGTAATTGGCCTGGGACCACGGAAGGCGTCCGTCCGCGTCAGTTTGACAGGAACGGACGTTACAACCCGAGCGTTTTTTTCCAGGTGAACACAACAACACCACCAACAATGACATTGGGAGCTCATGTTGTGTGACCATGCATCAGGGTTCAGTCCTGGCTCTATCATACCACTTGAGTAATGCACTGCCCTTGTGCAAATCGTCTTGAAACTCGCCATGGTGCCGAACAAGAAATATTGTGTGCTTCGACAAGTTTGTGGTAAAACGAGTTGCGGACGTTCCCCGCTTGGCACGATCGAGTCGGCCATTTTCTACCGCGACCGGCTTCGCTTCTTGGGCACGGCCTCATTCTCGGCCACTACCCGAGACACCATCGCGGGCACGCCAATGTCCTCCAGCTCAGCCAGCCAGGCCTTCTGCTCCTTGCTGATGGTGTCGCCCTTCGACTTGACCTCCACAACCTCCACCTGTCGCCAAGAGTAATCCGAGTCCTAGTCATCGCCATGAACAGCAGTCGAGGGCATACCTAAAGTCGATATCGTTTTTCCTTGAAAGACAATCAACCCTGCACTGGTACAGGGCAGTCTACTTCGTGCATACCTCCCAACCGTGACCGTGGCCCTGCCATCCGAGCCCGAAGTGGGTCCTCGCTTTCCAATCGCGCTCGTCCCTGCCGCCGCCACTGCTAGACCCGCCAGCTCCAAAATCGGCGCCCTTCGGCCGCCGTAGCACCACGTCAGGAAAACCCTTGTCCCTTCAACGAAATCAATGTGCGATCGACCGTTTACTCTTGTGCGTCACGTCATCTCAGAGGCCCAATCGCGTGAGTCGACTTAAAAGCAGAGCGTTCGCGACACACGAGACGGTGAGCAGCGGAAGACGCTCTGGTGCCAGCACCAGCGGACAGGTATACAGGAAAACTGGTTTTCGGTAAACTCGAGCACGGGATTCGGTTTAACCGGAAAAACGGTTCAACCGGATAACCAACCGATGTAACCGGGTTTCCGCTTCAAATCTTGCCGCAAAACCGGTCACCCCCAATGGCATGGCGTTTGGTCTCCACAGACACCGAAGTCCAAACTCACATATCAGCGAGGTTGTTCGTGAGCGTCTTGAGCAGATCGGACAACCGCTTCCCTCCGAAGGCGACACAGATTTCCATTATCTGCAGCGGTGTGACGGCAAGAAGTGCAGCACATTGAAAAGAGAAGTGCAAACAAACAACCCACCGACACACGCGACGGCCCTCTGCAAATGAAAAGTGGCACAGACCTCCACCGCCCGGCCCGGTACACGAGGTCGTTCATTCGGGAGAGGCACGCACGGCACACGCAGATTGGGCGCCTGACAGAAAGGCCACGCAAATTGAACTCGGCTACGACGAACAAATCTATCGGTCCAGGGCAAATTGGCGGTCAGATGACCCTAGCTCGATCCGAGCTGTGCCTGTGTGTACCTAAGGCACAGTCCTGCCAATACATGACGCTGAATTTCACCGGCAAGACGGACGCCAAACAGGACGAAGACTGCGGCAGAAGCAGGAGACATATCGCAGAGACAGCAGGAAACGCCCTTTGCGTAGGACGACGCAACATGCACCTCGCGAATTGGCTAGACTCGTCACACAAGGACGCCCCACATATTTGATACAAAGTGGGATAAAGGTGCGACGGGATGTTCAGCGCCATACTGCAAGAACTCTCATGGCAGGAAACGCCCTGGTTTCAGCCACACCCATTATGTACAACACTGGCAGAACAGTAGCAAAAGGTGGTGTTTTCATTTCGTAGCTCAACATGTTGGAAAACATAGCCAACCCTTCCCGCCGAAAAAAACACGAAACGTCAGGGTCCTCCACTTCACGCAAACCGACTCGTTGCACAGTTCTTGGCGCAGCAGCCGCACATACCTGCTGTTTGGGAAACACGTTCCAATCACACCAGCCACTCCGCACGCCTCTTAACCTGAGGCACCAACGCGGGGGGGAGGGGGCACGCTGACGAGACCAGCGGGCGGATCGAAGGCCTTACGGTTGATACTTCCCCCTACATTGATGAAATGTCCTTGCTTTCTTTACGATCAAAAATAAGGAAATCTTGCGCACAATGCACAAAATATTATTCCCATAACAAACGCACAACCTCTCACAGACACTTTTTCAGCGTATCTGGAAAGCACGTCAAAAACAACAAAGAACATGGGTGACTTTTCGCAACAACAAGAGAGTAATCGCCGAATGCCCACCTATCGTAGCGCTGACCGACGTCTGAAAACAGCTGCCGGTCCGCGTACTGTCCAATCGTTGCCAGGCGGTCCGGCAGGCCTTCCCTACGGGTGGTGAAGAACTTATCGCTCGTGTCCAGCGGTGAGATCTACACACGACATAGTAAAACATAACGGGCAATACAGCGTGTTTCGAACTGGGGGGAGGAGACTCATGCCTCCAAAAAGCATGTTGTCGTGCAGGCGAACAGGCCGTGGTCAATTCAGCATTGGGGAAAATTATGTTGTTTGCGGAGCAGGGGGGAGGGGGGGTCATTCATGCGGATCTTGAACAACTTGGTGCCGCCCAGGGTGCATAGTGGCCAAAGGACCGGGCAAGATGATTACGTTCTCGGTGAGGTAGAGCTTAACACGAAGGGTGTGTCAAAGGTGCAAAACAGGGAGTATTTGGCATGGGAGAGTCGGGGGAGCAGAGTGCCAAGCCCCGAAGATAAACGAAACGATTAATAGGCCAATGCATCATGCCGGGTTGAAAATGTAACGTGCTACATGTTGTGCCGTTTTCACGGGTGACGAAATCTACGTAAGCAACCATGACAACAAGGACGGGTTGGCGAAGGTCGTTTCATTACAAGGTGGGATGGAGAGAGCCTATAGAATAGATAGAGGTGTCTTGTACTGTTCGTCGAGGGATTGCTGAAACGCGTCGCTTGCTATTATCCCTGCTGCTGGACTGAATATCTTGAACATCTGTGGTCTGACTTCCATCTACAGTAGACTCGTTCCTTGGGACACAAGTCATGAGGCAGAAAATGAGCGCCCGGCATTGTCACGGGTTCAGCTAGATAACCCGCTCTCACCATAATACAGTGTGGCACAGCAGCTTCCACGCCGCTGTCGAAAACTTCTTCCCACAGCAGCAGCATCAGGATGAACATGATGAGTTTAGATTCACCGTGCAGGCCCAGCCAACCACCGGCAGAGTACCTGTCAAGGCGCGTACGCGGAATTATTGGCATTCGTTGAGAGACAAAAACGAGGGGAACGCGTGACCAAACAACGTGACAGAATGTTGCACGGCACGAGTCAGATGAACGCTGTTGATAGGTTTGTTTTTCGAATGACAACGCCGTTGTTGGTGTTTTTGTAGTTGGTACTGTTTTCTTGGCGTAGAACGGCTTCCTCTCTATCCTGTGGTCTCTCCTCCCCAATTTTCAAAGACACCGATATTAATTTCGGTGTGGTCACAAGCTTAGTTTACCCCGAGAGCATCAACAGCAATACAAACACACCAAACACAGTAGGCATGTGACCGGAGAGGTTCCCACCACTCACAAACAAAAATAACTCGTGGTAGTATACAAGGTGCATAGGTGGTTCAGTCAGAAGGAAATCTGGGCGAATCCTTCACCAATCCATCTACAAATTGTGCGATCGTGCAGGGTATATGCGGCAATCTCGTGGATCCAAAAAAATAGCAGGTGCTCCTCCCCTACCTCTCCCTGATGACAACCTCCTCGACGTTATGTGACCGGGCCTCGCTCCAGCGCCGCTCACCGGGGGCAGCTTCAAAGAGACAAACAGAACGTTGAAACGATAACAAAAAAACAGCATGTTCAAAGCGACCTGTGTAAGACTGTTAAGAAATTTGAAAAACTATAATTTGTTTATTGAGGTTCGCTAGTCTGTTCGAGTCAGAAACACGTCACCTGCGTGAGTTGTTAAGCTTGGGAAACGTCATTTAAGGTGGCAGCTGGCAGTCAGCTGTGAGTTGGTGCTGCTACCTGCGCTAATTTTCATCTTGCATCACTTCTCGATGACAATGTGCTCTCGTGAACCTACTCCGGAACACCTGTACGTACATGTAGATGTGTCGGCACAACACACGTTTTGTGCATGGCACACATGCATCTCTGATCTTCGTTGTTTTCGCCACCCTCTTCACATTCTGAAAAACCAGCCACAGACAACAGGCATTTCTCGAAGGTATCGCACTCCATACCGTCCGTTGCTTCCGGCCACAGTTCCTTACCATTCCATTCTCGGCGGTATGCATCCATGTCTTCACTTTGTTCCAAAGCAAGACAGGTTCACCAGTTCCCCTCCTCGAACGTGCTCCTGGACAATCGCTCCCAAAAACAGCAGACACGAAACCCCGTTTGAACCCATACATCCAAGTCTGTGCGCGTTCGAGAGCTCTTCTTCCCAAGCGCAACGCTCTCGCTCTAGGATGCGAACGCTATCGAAGAACACGAAAGATTGGAAGATTATGGCTTCTCACCGTCGTTGTAGTAGTAGAGCTTGCGGCCCCCCTTTTCACCGAGGGTCCCCTGGCTGCCCTGTTTCTGAGTCTCGACGGGAGGGTGGATGTCCTCGACCTTGGGGTCCCAAAGGGGGCTCCGCTGTCGCCCCCTCAGCGATGCGGTTTGTCGGTCGCCTGATTGTGTGGTCGTGATCGTACATTAGTGCACGCGTGTTGAGGATAACATTTCGGTTGCTCCCAGCCCCCTTCTATGCCCTGCAATAGCCCTCGTCCTCATCGACTCACGCAACAGGCAGCAATGGGCAGGGTGGTAGAGGCGGGGATGCGCAGAAAGGCGGAATATCCCCCTATCTAAGCTCTTTGTACGTGTGCACGTTTGCGGTGCCAAAGTGCACGACAGTGGAGCCCGCGAACACAGATCTCACTACATCCAAGTGCAAACCGCTGAAAAGCCCTCGCGAAATCGCCCACGGTCACCGAGAGTATCGGAGTCCAAAGACTCTGACCCGTGCGCGATAATAGATTTCATTCACGGGGATCGTGTTTTTTTCCCCGCACCCCTATGCAGGGAGATAATAATTCGTGGCAAGACTACGTTATCCCGCGAATAATCATCATATCTGGAGCACCCCTCCCCCTGCGGCCATACGTTTTGTTAACAGGCACACCCGCAGCAATCACTCATACCGTGCACGCACGTACGTCCATCGTGTACATGAAATGTCCGCCAATTTTTTTTCGACTACGAGGTGCATTTGTCACAATCATACAAGCTCTTTCGCAACGATCGAAACCCAGGGACGCGACCAGACATCACCTGTGCTCCCTCGTGCAACAAAGACAACGGTACCTCGATGTGCATTGTTCGACCTCCTGCTAGAAGACTCGGTGTCTCCACACCATACCCCGGGGATAAATGCAGTGCGCCCCCTGCCGGCCAACGTTACGAGGGTAAGCATGCCCGCGAGTGCACCCACCGCACTTCTTGTGCAGGCCTTGATACCGTTCCCAGAGATCAACCCTGTCCCCTCCTCGAACGCAGTCGTCGTCACACGCGGCCTTGACGACGTCTAGCTGCTCTTCTCGGGGCCGCTTGAGGTGAGTCTTGAGGTTGATCGCCAGCCTCGTGTACGCCTGAGATGTGCCCCGGTTGTACAGGGTTGGGTGTACGGACAATGATACACGTTGACAACGATACATGAATCAAAACTACGACACAAAACAGCGAGCACGATGGAAATATTGGTGCTTGACTACATTGTCTGTACGGCGCCAACTCGGAAATGGATTGTTGCGAGCCTCATCTCGCTATTGCCGCGGTCGCTGCACGAGCAATGAAGGCGAAAACTACCTGAAGCTAAGTACGCTTTCGCGTCGTCCACGGCAGGAAAATCGAGAAAACAATTGTAATATCACTATCTGCGTAGACGCCTCAAGCGCAGCAGTACAGAGCTATCAGCAAATCAAGGAATCACGTTGCCCCAAGTACAGCACAAGTAGGTGGCCAATTCTTTGGCCACTCTCTTCCCCTGTTGAACAGCGCTTGGAGGAGATGGCGCGAACGCAGAGTGCATGGTGGGAGAAAAATCTGGTATTTCAACAGCTGGCTATTTAGCTGGGTAAGCGTGGGAGGGGTGAGTCCAAGGAGACAAACTGGAGGGGGACAATGGAAAACAAACCTTTACTACCTTGAGACCCTTGATTGTCGATACTCGGCTACCTGGGTCCACTTTCAAGGGATGTTTTCGGCATATTCAACCGGAATAGGTAATCGTGACAATCTCATCCAGACGCTGGTTCGGTTTTTCTTGTCCATGTCCCAGTTTAACCTCATATACCTCTCTTCCGTTGAGTTGTCGTGGTTTCCCCTGAAATGGCTGTGAAAGTGTTCGTGTCTCACGACATCTAGCTCTTCAGACCAACGTCGATCATGTTATGTAGCGTCTACGTACGCTTTCGCCATTCTCCGCACGTTTTTCAGCAACGAGCGGTACGGCCACAAAGCCACAGCCACGACAACGAAGACGACGACGACGACGACGACGACAATAACAATAACAACAATAACAACAACAACAACAACAAGCCAGGCGACGCCTCCCCACTTACGAATCCCCTCTGGTCGCAGGTGACCCAGTCTGCCGCCCACACCAAGTCTGGCGCTGTGTCCCTGTACATCGGTCCTGCCAAGCCCTTCAACGGAGCGCGCGGGGAACAGCGCAACATCGTCACTTCACTAACATCAGCACTGAATGCGGAAGGTATCATCTCAACAACCTTTTCCTCAAAGAATATTACCTATTGATAACCGTTTCAATGTTCGCCAAGGATACCCTAGCAATATCGGGCGCTACGGGGTTTCGTTTAGAGCATTGTCACGTGTGCACTGAATTAATACTTCCCTTAAACCAAAAACGAAAAATTAAGCAATGCAAAAACGGGGAAAAAACACCGTTTCTCCCCAAGCAAGCGTGCAATACTATTTTCGGTACAGTATACACACAAGTCGGGAGCGAAGAATTCCTTTCATTTTCGTACGTATGAGATCCATCTTGCCACATGCAACTGATTCGCAACTCACGTATTCCCAATCGTGGACGGTGGAGTGTACGCGGCAGTTATCAAACATCGGGACGGCTTCGCACGTTCTCGAGATACTAGCTTTCTCACGCACAGGACACAAAACAGGAAAGCCGTATGGCGGTTTCGCGTGTTCACCTGAGGGCGCTTGCACACAGTGGGTCTGACGGGTTACAGTGTCGAGGGACACACACCTGGTCGCGCCGCACCAGCAGGCGGAATATCAAGACGGCCTCGTCGTGCTCTCCTTTCTTCTGCGATTCTTCCGCAAGCCCGCGGACAACCACAAGGACCTGCGTCGCACCGACATACCGCACGCTGCATTGTGGTTGTTCATGGCGCACACGCGCTTGGTGAAGCTACTGCCACTGTTGATAGTGATGACGGGTACCTTGTGCTTGGGAAATACGCAACGGAACCGGGAGCCTTATCCTAGGAGGTCCGGTCGGGAACCTGGGAGCAGACACAATGCCGAAAACTGCAATATTCTCATACCGACGGCTTTGACAAGTTGCTCACCCATTTCATGGCCTGCTTCAGCCGCAAGCATGCCACTTCAAGCAGCCGTTCCTCCTTCGACAGAGATGCCACCCAGCCGGCGCTGGCAGTCCCGCCAATGCTGTCTCTGTGGCGCTTGTGATAGCTGACTTCGGCTCCTCCCAACAGCCCGAACGCTTGTGCCATGGGCCCGGTCCACTCGCGTTGGGATGTCAGATCACCTGCGGTCTCGCCCTGAGAGTCTCGAGCAGAACAGAACAAAATCAAACCGGAACAAAGGAACGTTGAACGGCAGGGGGCTCAGCGGAATCAGCAAACCCGCCCATTCGTTTCGGCTGCCATGCTTCACGGGACACCTCCGCGTACGGCAGTGCGAAGAACTGATTCGTACTACCAACGCCGCGGGGGGCACGCAGCACAAAATATTCACTGGTCCGCGTTCTGTGCCCACAACGGTGCACAAGTTTCAGAGTGAACATTGCTTCATGCGACCGAAGGATACTGATGCGGACCACTTTCTCCTCTTCGTGGCTCCGGTGTTGTTACCCAAGGCATCATACGTTTCGAGGGGACGGTTGGAAGGGGAGAGAGAGAATGGACGCCCTTCCCTTCCTTGCGACCCAAGTCCGTATAAAGCGGAAATACATCCAGCCTCCCTGGGAATCACGTCATCGGGCATAGAGAAGCGTAGCTACAGCTGCCACCGTTCGACCGAATGTTTGCATGGTCGGTCCCCTCCAATCGCTCACCGGAAAGCGGCTCGTCCCATGAAAAAAAACGACTTTTGCGATTCGTTGTGTCACTCCAGCGTCTTCGACACAGCACAAGGCCGGGCGAAAAAACAAGTTTGGCACATATTCGGTGAATGTGGCCAATGCTGAATAAAAAAACGCGTCAAGACACGAATACGTGCCACTCTCCAACTAGCGCCTTTTGCGTATCCTCACTTCAAGACCGCACGCGCGCGCACGGACACACAACCTCAGCGAGGTGAGTGATTTAAGACTACATGTGCACATGTGTTGCATGGGAGCCCTTACACACGCACCTTCAGCACTTGCAGCAGGAGCAGGACGCGCAAGTCCCTGCCCGCTCGCATCACCTGACCAAGCCCAACGAACGGCCGCAACCAAAACGGCGTTGCGTTCTGTTAGCTGTTCTTTGGCAATCGGGTTGGTTCAATATGTTGCCCGAAACCATCACGACGGACTGAGGCCACTGTAAAGGGTTGATGTGGAAATTTTTCATCCATGAAAGGTAGAAAGGACCGAGATCTCAAAGACTACCTGCTCGAGTGGTAAACTCCAAACTTGCCGCAGTCTTTCACAGGGCGGAGTCGTTATCTCGGCCGCTGTGCCCATCCGGAAAAGCCAACACGAGTTGACGAGACGCTCAGAGCAAAAAAGGAAGCCCGACCCCAAACCATCGAAAAGCAACGCCGGAATGCGTATCGGCCGCACACGATTTGTCTCTTAACCCCGTAGCTCCACGAGTGCACCTCGATTCTCTTGTCGGCGTCTTCTTTTTCATTTCGGACGTCGACCACAGTAGGAGCCATTTAAAACTGTTCGACAACATGTGCCGTCTTCACGTCGAGGCTATTCACCCGTACCAATAAAATGTATACAGAATATTTTTGACGATGTACAACCTCTGTTGCAACCCCGGTGGTCTTGTTGGTATCCTCGAAACCTCCTTGAGGTCAGGTCAGGGGTTCGAATCCCGGCGTAAGCGAGGTTTTCTTGCAAAGGGAGTTTTCCTCTCGCTTCCGCTCCTGGCCTAGTGGATAGCTCTAGTTCGTGTGTACACAGAGGGAAGAGAGTGCTGAACTCTTCTCGCATTAAAAATCGGCGGCAACGTACCGCAGGGTGGGAGCGCAGAGAGGGGGCCTTCTGTGTGAACACTGGTTGGCGTAAACGGCACTAGTGCTGTGAGCGTTGATTTGAAGTCAAGACAAAAGTAAATAATGCATAAATAAACAAACAAATAAATAAATAAATCACTCGTAGCACACAATCGCAACTGGAAGAACCACGAAGATCGTTACTCCAACATGAAACAAGTCCCTAAACAAAAGTAGAAGGAGTTGAATAGGAACCACTGGTGCATTTTTCCAGTTCCAGGTGATTTATACCTGGTGGCACCACGAGTGAAGCCTGACGCACAGGTCGCCCACAAGCCCACCCATGCGACCTCGGCAACTCGAACGTTCATCGCCCCCCCTAACGGCCGTAGTGGAACTCCTCCATTTTTGCCGGCCAGAGAAGAGGGAAGGGATGTCGGGGGGGCACAGCCCGCTCGCCACGGGGCCCGTCTGTGCACACACACACCACAACATACAACAGCAAAACTGGTTTCAGGAAAACGGAGATGTAGAACAAGGGAGCACGTCATGGGGAACTCGGAGCGAGTTTGGTGTAGGTCTAGCAGGGGTAAAATCAGGAAGAAACCTCCCTCGCCTTTGTCAGCCCCAAGGCAACTTGCGCACGCACTTCCCGGTCTACGTCCCAGTTGCACAGGAAGATTTTGAGCACCAGCTCGCACGCGTCCTCCATCTGAAACGGTTACCGCATTGGGAGGGGAAGGGGGAAGGGGGAACAAGTGTATGGCGTATGGTCCTGGGTCTAAGCACTTCTCAGGGAAGACGGTGACGACCAACTCGTTGGCGTCTTCCATTCGGAAAAGGAGTAGGCGTGTGCGTCGGGGGGGGTGTAGAGTATCCTCCCGGTTGTCGTGCTGTTCGAGGGAATCAGTCGGGTCGTCGTATCGTCGTGTAACTCAGCCACCGCGTTCACAACCAGCCCAGCAAGCCGCAGGGTGCTGGCTTAATGCAAGAGCACACGGATTATCGACACGCGCGCCCGAACGGGGGTTCATCACCCCGCTCGAACGGGGCTCATGACCATGCTAGCAAGGCCACCCACATTCGAAGGCTGAACAACATTCAGATCTGTCGTCTTTCGTGCAGAACCGTGCCCAAAGACTACTATTTAAACCCCTCCCGACACCAACTCATGCGGGGGCTACGGGGGATGGGGGGTGTCGCCCGCTACGCAGCAATTATAGCGTCGAGCGATTCGCAACAATGCCCAGACGCACAATCATACTGCTCACCTTCTGATCTAGGGCGAGCATCTCTCCGAACTCCACCTTCCGGGCGAACCCGGCGTGGACAAGCTCGTCCGCCGCCTTGCCGCATATCCCCGTTTGCGTCTCGAAGGCGGCAAGTTCTACCGAGTAGGCGCACAAGATGCCGGCCCCTTCGGACATCGCCTGCGGAAGCACGTCAAATACACACAGGGAAAATATGACATGTTGTATTGGTTTTTCTTCTGTTGCTGATGGCACTGCTATTGCTACGGACTCCAAAGCCCTCGTGTCGATGAGTTGACCCGGAATGCCTGCTGACACACGTTGCTACGGGTACTCTCGAGGGTTGTAATCGTAACACAGCAGCAGCTAAATGGGGTCCTCCATCGAGGGAGTTCTGAAGCTCCAAGACATGGTTTGAGGCTGAGGGCCAGACCCACCTGGATCACTTCACGAGGCCTTGGGCTCCAGCCAATCAGCGGGCACAGAAGAAGTGGCATCGCGTTTGCCTCTGCGCCAGAGAGGCTTACCTGTGACACGTCCGAGCACTCCGTCGGGAACAGAGAGGAATGTTCGAGAAGCGGTCAACATTTAACCCAGGACAACAAAGCCATGGCATGGAAAACACGTGGAAGGAAAAGGTGCAAGTCGTCCTTGTGTCCATTCCGGCGGACACGCAAAACACAAACGTACCTCAGGCGACGAGCGATCCACATCACCTCAGGCAGGTTTATACTCTATGCCAGCGTCCACAATGAGCGGTGACAACTGCGAAACGTCTTCTCCAAGCCGGAGAGGATTTACATACCCGAGCGGTATCAAGTCTAACAATTAACGGCGCAACAAGCAATCAATGAGAAAAAAATACACGACGAGCACTTGTTTGTTGGGCAATTGACAAAATCGGTATACCCCGCGTGTTTGGGCACAAAATGGGACATACTTTTTTTCGGTGTGGGGCGCAACGCCTGACGCCGGGTAGGCGCCTTTGAACCGCCTTCTAGCGCTTCAGCCCCATGCGCCAGGTCCTTAGAAATGACTCCCCAAATGGTTTTTTACTTTTCACCCACAGGAACAGGGTTAACTAGGGCCTGGAAGAGGGGAGCTTGTTGGAGGACCCCATTTTGTTCACGAAACCGCGGGGTGCACCCCCCGGTCTGCAAAAAGTTTACCTAGTACCCCGTTTTGTTCACAAACGTACCCCATAGTGTTCAAGGGATACCCATTTTTTTTCAGTGGTGACGCTCCTGCGGACTGACAAAATGGCAACAAACAACCAACCGCAGACCACCATATCTCTGTATCATCTGTCTCCTTGCCTCGCCGCAGACCACAACAAAGCCTGTAGGTTGCACCGCAGACCAACGTACCCCAACATCTTCTGTCGCCACACCTACGGTGGTCTGCGGTTGGCTGTTGGTTGCCATTTTGGCAGTCAGCAGGAGCGTCATCACTGAACAAAAATGGGTATGCCTTGAACATTATGGGGTACGTTTGTGAATAAAATGGGGTACTAGATAAACTTTTAGCACACAGGGGGGTGTACCCCGCGGGTTCGTGAACAAAATGGGGTCCTCCAACAAGCTCCCCTCTTCCAGGCCCTAGTTAACCCTGTTCCTGTGGGTAAAAAGCAAAAAAAAAAAGTTGGGGCGAAAGTTGGGCGTCCTTTCTAACGACCTGGCGCATGGGGCTGAAGCGCTAGAAGGTAGTTTATAGGCGCCTACCCGGCGTCAGGCGTTGCGCCCCACACCGAAAAAAAGTAAACCCCACTTTGTGCCCAAACACGCGGGATATACCCCATTTTGTCCGCCTTGTTTGTTTGTTGTCTGTCGCTACGGCGTGTGTCTTTCTCTGTCTGTGTATTTTTCTTTCCCTTTGCTTCTCTCCATCTGCTCTTTTCCTTTTCTTTTTCTTTTTGTTTTTCTTTTTCCAATCTAGGGTCACCTCGCATAGCGTGCAGAGAGGCCAGCGGAGTGGACTAGACTATCTGTCGTTGATTTTTATTGACTTGCGAACCCTTCGAGTCCATTTTATTTTCGTATACCTTTTTTTGGGTAAGTTGGCCTGTGACCACGGGAATCGACCCCGTCAAGTGTTAGACTAGTACGGACAGAAAAAGGTACTGGGCAGAGAGAACGGAACGGTTTTTAATGTGAAGACAACAACAACAACAACTCGTGAATGGCGCAGGAGGATCACCTACTGCGGCGTCACGCACGGCGCGGATTCAGTACAAACTCGGGACCAGCTCAGCAAACCAGAGTGGCTTCCAAAGCCAATCACATATTGCCGGTAGGCCTCGAAAAAACACGCTCCCTTGTTACTGCTGTCATCATTTTTCGCGGGGAGAGTTGGGCGAGCACGACAAGCAGAATTCTCGAACATTATTTGGTCTTGGTTCGAAAAACAAAAAACTTGAGAAGGAAACGTACCCGAACAAACCGTGGAGTTCCTGAAAAACTGAACAAGTACTTGTACATGCTCGACTGCCACTCTGCAGTACTTGGTTCCTCTGCCGCACACCTTGCCATTGAGAATCTCACGCTCGAACGGCCCCGTTGCCTTGCCGCCCCCGTCCATGCCGAACATCAGGTGAGCCAACAACCAAGCCGCCCCTAGGGAGAGGTCCCCATCGCCGTCGCCGCCACCAGATGCCCTGCCATCGTGGTTGCTGGTGGTATTGCTGTTGTTGTTGTTGGTGGCGGTTGCGGTGGATGTGGTGGTGTCTCCACGGTCGCGGTTAGTATGGCCACTGTTGCTGTTGGTGTTTTTGCCGATGGTGCTGCTTTGCCGGGACACAGACTTCGACGGAGATTGCAGCGCTAACAGAGTTTCTAGGCGTATGCGCAGCCTGTTTTCGGGCAGGGCTCCCGGCGGAAGCTCTCGCATCCACGCCAGAAGGTTGGCCAGCATGGGAAGAGGGTTGCATGGCTTCGGCTTGGCTTTCGTACGGGTCAAGATCGCGGTCCGCGACTGGCCGGTGCTGTCGGTCCACGTAACAGGAACTGCGGCCCACCAGGTGGAAGGAAAAGGCGACCGCGAGACGAAACGTGGGTATGCGTTGGGGCACGCTTCGCACGCGAAGGAAATGATTCGACTGAAACACGAAACGTAGCTGCAAAAAGAGGCGGAGCATCGGCAAGCCAAGTCCGCGTGCGGTGTTTGGGAAACCACCCGACTGCTGGTCCATGGGGCGGGAGCTACGATCACTCGGCAGCAAATTCCAGGGGGGTGGGGGAGAGGGGGAGAAGGGTAGTTCAACTGGGAAAGGGTTTACCAGGACGTGGTGCGGTGGCTACGATGCGGGGACTTAATCTGCCTGGAGATGCGCATCATGAGAAATACTGTCTGTTTCTCATGAGAAAGCCTCGGTGCCTTGAGCCCCGAAAAAAATGTACCTTAAGTCAATCATACTAGGCCGAACGCCTTCGCTACAGATGAGGACAGAACACGAACTGGGTCATCAAACACTACTATCCACCCGCTAACAGCGGCCAGCGAACGACGAACCACAAAGAACATCGCTGCTCCGGAGGTTGCATAGACACGACTTGTCGCAGAAGAGAGGCCGGACGGGGCCGACAGCGAGCGGTCCCCATACACGATATATCTCGTGTTCAGTATCAAACAGGGAGAGCAACATGGCAACCTCCGAAAAATACACCATCACGACAGAGTTGAGCCACCGCCCATTCAAATCCCAATCGCTCGAGGCCTCACCTGAAGCCGAAGAAAGCGACCCCATTACCTCCCGCCTTTCCCTAGTCGTCGGAAGCAGGAGCGCTCGGCTGTCGTCCAGCATGCCCATCATCACGAAGGGGGGCTGGTCGTGTCCTGCCTCTTGATCGTCACGCAAGCAACCTCCGCCCAGCGAGTGCGTGGCCGCGCTGGCACCCCGCCCCCACTGTTGGCGCCTGAGGGTTGGGGATGCTTCCTGCCGCGGCTGCTGCTGCTGTGTTTCGCCCCACTCTTGCAGCTGCAGGGCTAACACAGCGGGAGGGAACTCTTGTGGCTGCTGCTGACGCTCTCGCCGAACCTGCTGCGTCGTTTGACCCCACTCGCACCTCTGGACTCCCACACCAGCGGTCGCAGCTGCATCAGAAGGGTGTGGGTAGTGCTGGAGGGCCGGCTTGCCCCCCCACCCGTCCGCGACAGTCGGCGGCGGTAGCGGCGTGGCTATTGAACCCCCTGCCGACCACGGCGAATAAGAAGGGTGTGTGCACGAGAGGGCGGACAGAAAATCGAGGCCGGACCCTGAAAAAAGGCTTGCAGCAAACTCCGTGGCTGGTTTGGTGACACCATCTGATTTCCTGCCCAAAGCACAATTCTATCTTGTCAAAAAAGCGCACGAGCAAGGAAACCGCAGCATTGGGGTCTCGTGGGGAATTCCAGTAGAACTTCTCCTTAAGGTAGGATACAAAACTACCACAGCGGAACACCGAAAACGCTGCCCACACCACCAAGGGCTCACCCAGCTCCATCGGCAGCAGTCCCTCCGGCTGCTCGACCACCTCGTCGGACAGGTCGATCACGCCGCCACCGCTGCACCGACCTTTCCCGTTCTTCTTGACTTTTGCTGCCCGTCGCCCTCCTTGTGCGTCTGCCTGCCCTGCGGGTGGTTCTCCGCATGGCCGGCCGCCGTTCGATGGCCGTACTTCTGCCTTGCAGTGACCATGTGGGAGGTCCTCATTGTCTTCTTCTGCTACCACTGCTGTAGCTGCTGGTGATGGCTGGGAGGCTCCTCTGTAGGATGGCAAGATGCGGGAGACACTGTTGGAAGTCCATAGCTACAAGCAGAGAACCCGCATGCAGGCCCAGCCGTTCCAAGCATGACCGATCAACACAACACTGACTGCACAGCAATGATTGAGGCGTCGAATTCAGCTAACTCTGCTTCAGCAGTGCAAACGAGAAGTGGGATCTTCGCTCTTGATAAGATTTCGGGTAGTTCGTCACCCAAAGCCAGAAAATATCAACGTCACGCGGGTTTACTGCAGGTACCCTCCGACACACGCATCTAGCTCCGACATCTCCGAACGGAGCTGCGACACATTTGTCTTGGTGCTACATCAGGAAATACGTCATGTGTAAGACGGACCGAAGCATGTTGAGCACGAATGGCTAGACTTGTGTAGGTGTAGGTTTTGCACCCTCAGGAACCAAGCAACATCAACACCACCACACAGCAGCAGCAGACCACCTGCAGCAGTGGCGACATACCCAACGGTAAAGGAAACACGGCACCAACAACAGAAATAGGCGAAAACGCCAAGTCTTACATATGTATGCATAACTGCATTCGCTCACAACTCCAACACCACGAAGACCCCCCAGCACACCTCTTCTTCGTCTGGGCATGCTCCTCGTTGATTTCCTGTGCGGCGGTCTCACTTCGAGCAAGCTCCCTGGAGGTTTTCCGGGCAAACTCGAGCTCAACCTGTGCCTTCAGGTGGGAAAGCCCTCGAAACACGTCCTGCGAGCGTCGGTCGTTGCTTTCTTCTCGCTCCCGAACTCTTCTGGCTTGGGCTTGTGGGCTTCTTCCAAGGTCCCCGCTGACGTCCTCATGTGTTGGCCTTGCCATGAGCATCTTTGTCTGTTGCACAGACCACGGCCTTTGCGAGTTTATCGTAGTTTCGAAACACCGACATAGATCAGGAAATGTCCAGTAATGGTTGTGCCAGGGTCGAGGTCCAACCAAACGGCTAGGTAACACATTGGTCTGCCGATGCCGAGGGTCTTACGTAGGCGCCTCTGAAAAAGCGACGATAGACTACTACGAGTACAGGGTTTGGTGTCAACGGGATTTCAGCTGGCCTCACGAGCGAGAACGCGCCGCTCCCGCCGAATGACAACTGTCAGTAGCTACAGTAGCTGCGGTCCAGCCAATGCGCGATTTCACTGTGAAAAAACCGCTCGTACCCAAGTCCCACACAACCGAGAATACGTCCGATTACTGCTGTGGACACACCACTTCTTGAACCCAATATACTCTAGCTCGCAGCGTTGGCACGTGCCCTTGCGAATTCGAAAGCTACTCTGTTACGATGGTACAATACACGAGGATTCATTTACCTACACTGGCTGGGTCTACATGCTTTGATAGATCGTGGACGCATCAGAAAACATGAAGACGCCAAGCAACTTTTCATGTCGAGAATGCACTCACTACATATCTTGCTCTCCTCGCCCGCTCCACCTCTTCGCTTTTCTCGCACACGGGCCGGGTCTGGCGGGACGATCGGCACGCTTGCAATTTAGAATCGGCAATACAACAAATTAGAACCGGGGGGTCCGGAGACGGGATATCAGGGCGGGGAGGGGGCGGACTTGTCCATCGAACTTTCCAGGATCTTTCCGACATCTCTGACATCATGTGTGTTTGCTTTTTGCTTCTCGTGTCCTCTCCCGTCTTCATCTCCAGCGCATCCGCACTAACAACGCGAAGAGGAACGAGAGCGGGCACGTAAAGGGTGCAACATTGGAGGTGCGGACGAGGGGTTGAAAAAGTAGAGTATTGCTGCCATAGGTGTGTTTTTTGGCCATCAATTCGACCGCCGGGCGAGAGCGGCGTGCAACTTGCTGCGGAAATCGCAGCTTTCGCCCCCTTCTCTACCGGCGCTCTCTGCGCGGGATTTCAGAATGCCGTGGCTATGCTCGCTACCCTCTTGCCTACGGCCAGGATGGGAGGGATGGCAGACAAACGGCAGTTAATGATTCTTACTTGGTACGTTTGCTTTCATCCATTGTCGCGAGGGCACTCGTCGGTGTTATGCGGAGAGCGAGTAGTCTTCGGTGTCTTGAAAACTGATGTTGTTTGTCACTGATTCCGCGTCGCCGTACCGTTGTCCGGAGAGAGAAGCGAGCGTCTGTGCGCGTGCAGCGCCGTTCCTGGTGCTGCTGCTGGTGCGTGAGGAGCCGTTCAGGGCCCCATTTCCTCGGGTAGACATTTGTTTTCCCCACCCTACCCTTGCTCTCACTTTCGCATTTCCTCCCCACCGGAACCTATCCCTGCACCCAGGGGCAGAGCGCTGAAATGACGGCACGGCGGGGCTATGGGCTCGGCAGTCGCCGGGCGGGAAATCTGTTGCTGGTCCTACTGTCTTTGCGTGAGGCAATCGCTGAGGGAGAGCAGCAGGTCAGATAATAATGGAGATGGTGGTTTATGGGCTTTCCGCGCTGTTGCACATTCAATGTTGCATTTTTGGGGTGGCGCAACTAATCAACCAATGCGCGGTGATGCAACAAGCTCAGGAGCCCTCTGTGCGGGTTGTTCTGAAACAGCTGTGGATCTTGATTTTTCACCTTGACGTATAGATTACGAAATCGACGCGCCCACCAATCGCACCCGATATAGTTGGGAATTGTTGTGCATTAGTCATCCCTTAGTTGTCGCAGCGGGTGGGACTTTTCACCACCATCACACCATGGATGGTACCGAGGCCAACGGTCTGAGGACAAACAATTTTCGATGTTGACTAAATATTTTGAAACAAACGCAAGAGCACCAGAAATTCACAAGACACACAAGACCAGCCGGAAGGCATCGCGTAAAACAGATATCGTTTACTCTCGCACAGGGTGGCAGTAGAGGCTGCTCAAAACATACATTTCACGGGTCTACCTCCGCACGCCTCCTTTGAAATCAAGATCAAATTTCACACCTTTCTAAGTTCAAGTCAGAAGAGGCAAAACGGAAGGCGCTTAAACAAGGTCAGTTTTGAGGGCTAGGTGGTGCATTCTATTGTCATCAGTAGAGGACACCATGAAGAGGCGTCGTGCGTGCTGGCACGTTCAGGTTTGCTGCTGGAGCTGAAATGTTGAAGGTCGCAGCAGCCTCTGAAAACAGTCCGAAATCTGCGCCGGAACCAAGCGGGATCCAACATTTGTCACAGCCGTGCTCGCCGCCACTGAACCCAATCTCCTGAACCGCGGATTAACAGCAGTAGCTGATGCCACCAGCTACTGCTGACAACCCTCCGTTCAGGGGTTTATGGTCCGTGGCGGTCAACACAGCTATGACAAATGTTGGATGCCGCTTGGTTCCGGCGCAGATTTCGGACTGTTTTCATAGGCTGCTGCGACAATCCAACATTTCAGCTCCAGTAGCAAACCTGAACGTGCCAGCACGCACGACACCTCTTCATGGTGCCCTCTACTGATGACAGTAGAATGCACCACCTAACCCTGGCGGGAAGGTTGTTTTCTTTCTTTGAGCAGGAATAAAATACGGGAAAAGATCCAGCGTCAAAACCCCTTGTCTTCAGGCCCTTGAGGAATACCTACACACACATCAAACCAAGACGAAAAACTCGTGACACTCCGGGTGCTCACACAGGTTCCTTGTGTTTTAATCCTCCCGGTCTTAAATACTACGAGTGAGGACAACGTAAAGCACCGACATGCGCTGTTGTACGCTCAGACATGTTTTGCTAGGGCGTTGCTGTCGAAAACAGTCTCGGCAAATCTACCGCCAAACCAGTCCATCTTCCACTGCTGCACTTGCCGTGAAAGACCCAATCTCGTGAACTGCAGCTGTACAGCCGTAGCTCACACCACTAGCTTCCTTGGACGACCCACAGCCGTTGTGGGGTTTCGGGCTCGTGCCGACGAATGTTCCGTTTGGATCGAGGAATGCGAACGTTTCTTTTTGTCCAATCCCAGCAGCGGATCTGAGCGTGACAGCGAGGATGTCGCTGCTCCGTGAGGTCCTCTACTGAATTAGCTGCTGGAGTATTTGCAGTACAAGAACGACTCTATGCTACTGCATGGGTTGATGCGGTCTCGTGAAGGCGTCGCCAAGTCTGTAACCGTCAGATAAAGACAGCTTGGGCGTCTGTGTGGATAATAAGATCACTCTGTGTGCTTGCCTACCTGACCCCGCATCACGTCCCTGCTACTTTGTAGCTACAGTGGACAAAATAGCTGTACAGCGACTGCAGTTAGAGTGCAGTTGCCCCGATATTAGCATCTCACATTTGCTCGCCAGGATTGGCACGTGATCCATACCCACCAGGACTCCTTCCCGAGAAAGGCGCTGATGTTAGGCTTGAGGGACCACCCGTACACAAAGGTCCTTCATTTTTCCGAGAGAGTGACAGCCGAGAGAGCCCAAGATACGAGATGAAGTGTGTCATCATCCAAGCAACAGATAAAACTAACGCCCTAAACATGTGCGTACTACACAGCCCCAAGTCACCGTAGATCTTCTACACAGATGACTGTTACCATTGAACACGGGCTTCGGCTTCGCATCCATTTTTTCCTGTTATTTCCCGGCGCTTCTGTATTTGCTCTTACATTCACGCACATGCATGCCCTCTTTCGTGCGCTGTGCTCGACACGATCGCTGATACCCTACAAACTTGTTCACAAGCGCGCTTACAAGACGATCTCGGGTGGCTTGCGTATGCTTTGGCATTTGCAGCAGCGGGCAAGACATGTTTTTTTCGGCTGCCGCGTACATCCCATCACGAAAGGCAGATATTTCCATTTGGGAGGCGTTGCAGCTCGGCATGCCTCGAAACAACGAGATGCAACTTGGATATGGTCATGATTTCTGGTCTACCTCGGGGGGTCGGTTGGTTTGATGATTTCGTGTGATGATGATTTTGAGCAAGAGCGAGCAAAACGGGAGGGTGCACGGTTTCACCCGTGTGATATTTAGTATGCTTGGGAGCTTACAGATGGTTCACCGCAAACACCGGCTCTGTTTTGTACGTCCAGGGACCCCGCCGCGCCGCGCCACACGCAGACAGAGACACGGAGTCCCACGGACAACCGCACCGGCCGGGTGTACCTGCGGGTGGCGAGTTCGACTTGAAGCTGTCTGCGTCGAGGCTGCAGAGGAGCGGGAGCACCGACCACTTGATGGCGGCTTCCGAGCTGGCGAGATTGCGGGGCGTGGAAGGAGTGCACGAGTTGTCGGCGATGCGTGCGGATGCTACAGCGTCCCTGGGCGCCAGAGTCGCGCAGAGGGACAACGGAGAGCGCCCAATGGAAGAAGCTGACGACGCAACGCGGGCAGCGGCAGCAGCAATAACAACAGCGGTAACAGTACCGGCTGGACACGGCAACAGCGGAAGCCGCCGGTTACAGGCGGATGAGTCTTGCGAGGTCGGGGCTAGTTTCGAGTTGTCCTCTACTCTCTACAGTGCGTTCAACGGGTGCTACGCCTCGTTGGATTCGACGTTAGACCCGTACTTCTTCTGGACGGAATCATTCGGCGCCTTCATCGGGCCCGCTCCCTCCATTTTCTCATCCACAAGCATGGATTTCACCACCAGCGATAATCCGGTGAGGGGGCATTGCTTGGTATTGTTTTTTTTTGTCATGCGCTGGCCATTGCTGCTGCTGCTGCTGCTTCGGCTCCCGCTTCCTTTTTTGCCGTTGCCGTCACCCTTGTTGCTGTTTATTTCGTTGGTTGTTGGCGTTTGTTACTTGCTGACACGTTTTTGTTTTGTTTTCCTTTATCGTGTTCCCGGTTTCATGTATACTACGAGGGAGCCTTACTTGTGTCATAGTCAGCATTCATCTGATCTTTGTGGGATCCTCATTGACCGTACGTTCTTGCATGCATCTCCCCCATTATGACATGCATGCAGCTTTGGGGGTAACAGGCGTGTGTGCGACTCTCTTGTGATTCTCCCGGATTGAGAAGGGTTTTTCCCATTGCTTCCCCGGTCGGAGTCCACCGGGCAGTAGTTGCCTCTAGGCAGCGGCGAAATGTAGCAAAACTACTTCACCTCTATGGACAGATGGGAGTCCAGGATAGAAGTGGATTATTAGGTGTTGTGTGACCTACCTGTGTTTCTGCTGATCTCCTAGCAGCATACCGTGATATCTTCCCTGTGCGTAACAGGCTCAACAAGACAGTGCCAAAGATTTTGTTTTCTTCCCCCGGCACGGCTCCGCAGCGTTTATAACCTCCCAATCTCCTCGCCTGCTGCGTGCGGAAGGGATGCCTCGCCCAGCCCTCTTTGTTTTCAGTTCATCGTTTGGGTCGTCATGCAGGTGCAAGTAGCGCGTGTCCCGCCTGCCCCACTGGCTGCCAACCTTAGTGCTGGTAGACGTGGTCGGTCTGCGTCAGATCCCTGCCGTGAGTCGACCATCGTTAACAACGAAAACACAACGTTTTCTCGGCGATCGTCGTTGTTGTTGACGCTCATTCGACGCCGTTGCAACAGCTCGCGTGGAAATTGGGGGAGGTGCTGGCCATCGGAAACGACGGAGCGGTTTATTACAGCATGGCGTGCGAATCCTTCGAGTATGTGGCAATCGGTTCGCACCCCTCAGATGTCACTCAATGGATATGTGAGTACACTCGTGGCATCGGGCTCTTGAGTGCCGACCTTTTCTTGGTCCGGATCGCCAACATCATGAGTAGGGTGATCCGGGATGATTGTAGACTGCTTTGAAGCGGTTGAGCTGCTCCTCTCCGCCCCTCGCCCTGATTGAGCCCAAAGCGCGATTTGGAATGCTTGCCATACAGGGTCAATTTTGCACCTGAGAGGGTCGAGAGATCAACGGCTTGCGCAGTCCTGTAGAAAGTACAGCCTCGTACGGACCATCGGTGTTGCTTGACCACCCAACGCACGCTTATACCGGGGTTTCGAGGGTGTGTGTGTGGCTCCCTGGCGATGTCTTTAACTACCGAGAGTGCCAGGCATGACACGGGCGCGTGGAGGCAGCTGTCTTTCGACAGAGCGCACTACTTGCTGGATGTGCCCTGAACGGTAATTGTGCGAGTGGTATCAGAAACCCTATTACAGACCGGCTTTCATGGCTCGATCGCTCCACAACCAAGAGGGACCGACCGAGACGTGCAAGGAAATCACTCGGCGATATAGTTTCCAAAACCACCCTTTTGGCTTGTCAGCGTCAATACCTGCGCTCGGTTGTTGAGCATTCGAGCCATGAAAGACGTTCGAGGGGCTGTGCCACTACTCGCACCTTGACGGTAGCGATGGTGTGCCTTCATTACGGTTAGGCGTGTGTATACGGCCTAGATCTCTTCGCACACGTCCAGGTTTTGGAGCGGACCGAGCTCCACCTAGTGAGCGAAAAACGAACTGATTGTCAACAGTCCCGGCTTCATACAGGTGCGAAAAAGCCTTTTTCCAGGTCGGCTCTGAGCGATTGTCGAGCTAGGCCACTTTGGAGTGGGGGGGGACACGCCACACAATACGTCTACGTGAGCAGGGAGTTTGAAATCACCGTTTCAATTCAAACGCCGTGCTCCGCGATGCTGATCTCTCTCTCTCTCTCTCTCTCTCTCTCTCTCTCTCTCTCTCTCTCTCTCTCTCTCTCCCTCCCTCGTTTGCTCGTGGAATCGAACCCACTAGGCTACCTCGCAGGCGGGTGGGTATATGTTTCGGCCGATTCTTTTTCCTTGACCTGCGGCTGCTCGGACAACCCAACACCTGCTCCAGAGTCGGGGTCGACCACGCCGTCCCCGGCATATTCCCCCACGTCGCTCCTAAACCCCGATGGAACCACGCCCGCCCCAGTAACCTCTCCGGTGGACGATGATGGTAGCCCCGAGGGGGCATCGGGCTGCGGCGGTACGGACGAGTTCACGATATCGTCATCAGAGCTGGAAGAGTTCGACGGGTGCTACGTGGACGCTGGCGAGACGGAGACGTTTTTCAGCACGTCGGGCGAGAAGGCCGACGGCGTGATGGCGGTGTTCCCCGGCTTCCTGGACGAACAGGAGACCGCAGACGTGAGTGTCGAGGACCCCCCTCCCCCCGGAAACGAAACATGAAAAAATAACTCGCACCTGCTCCACAGCTCACAGCTGCGCCAAAACCGCCACTGAGGGCACCACCATGAGTGACTGTCATGCTGTATGGTGTCGCTGACGGCCGTAAATCGTTTGGAACCGCCACAGCGGAATATCTTGTCAATCGTCTCTCGGCACGAAACAATTTGGTGCGACCAACCCTGATCAGAAAATAACGCCGGACGGGTGGCGACGAGACGTGGATGGGTTGAACACAAATAGGAGACCGGTATATGGTGAATAGGGAGAGGGAGTTTGAGAAGGAGAGGTCGACGCCGGCATTTAGAAGGCGAGAATGGGAATACTACGGAGGAGATCGGCACATGTGAATGCTTCATGAACAGGGAGAGCAAAGAAGCAGTAGTGCGCTTCGGGTAGGATCGTATCGAAGACTACGGAACAATCACGGTAGACGATATGCAACGGGAGCAGAGGGATGGTAGAGGAGTAATCGGCAGGTGCATCGAGAGACGGCCAGAAAAAGCCCGTGCGCGAGCGAGGGAATGCCGAAAGAGAGTGGCGCGGTGGAATTCCACGAGAATCGTAGAGTCGAAGACCAAAGACCTTGTACCTTAAAGCAATAATGTGTTAGACCGGAAGTGACGTGTAGCGGGAGAGTGCAGAACTAGTGAGTCCGATAGACAGTAGCGAGCGTGGAGGGCGCGGTGGAGGAGTGATGGGCAGGGGATCTGCCCATGTCGATGAAAAGGCGAGCGTGACAGAGGGGAGGCGGCTTGGCGACGTTTCGAAATCGGAATTCCGAGAAACAATATTTAGGAAAGAAATGCTTCGCTGCCAGGGCTCGAGAGAGGGGTGGAAAGTGACTGAAGAGGCCTGGAAAAATGCAAACAACAATAAAGGGAGATTCTGGTCAGAAATATAGTAAGTAAATGTTAAGAAGACTATGCGTGTGAGCGCATTCAGGATTTTGCTTCGCATGCCGACATCCGGTCGCCCCGGTAGTCTAGTTTGTATGCTCGAAAACCTTCTAGTGGCCAGGGTCACGGGTTCGAATCCCGGCGTAATCGAGCTTTTCCTGCAAGGTGAGTTTTTCTCTCGCTTCCGTTCCTGGCCTAGGTGGAAAGCGCTAGTACGTGTGTAGACACAGGCAAGAGAGTGCTGCACTCTTCTCGCATTAAGAGTCGAAGGCAAAGTACCGCAGAGGTAGGTAGGGGACCTCAGGAACTCTTTTTGAGTGAATACGGAAAACGGCGCAAGTGCTGTCAGCGCTGATTTGAAGCGAAGACGAAAAAACAATGAAAACAAATACTGCTGACGTCCGGCCTCCCTTTGGACCGTGGCGGTGTGCGACTCTGGCTCGGAGGAGAGGTCAGACGTAACCGCGCCTTCTCTGCTATGTCTTGGAGCCATGGCGATAACGTGGGTCGATGTTTTTGTGCGAAAGGCGACCCGTTAACCGTTTTACCGCCAATGCATTCCGCGCTTCCTTTGCGGGAAAACACACCGCCAGGCCCGCTGGATCGTCGGAACGTACGCCGAGGACGCGGACGATCGCACGGTTACCTGTGTTTCGGATGAGAGTCCGACGACTGCCCACCCTGCGGATTCCACGTTCTCCTGTAAGTCTAGAAGATCCCCGAACTGCATAGGTTTAGAGTGAGGCGAGCGGCGTTGGGTTGTAATCGTAGACCGTCGTAGAGTTTTCGAATGCGTACTCGTCGTAGAATGAGTTTAACCGCTGGACTCACCGTTTCAATCACTTTCTCTGCGACAAGAAGACCTCACTAAGCTGTGGACTCCACCTGTTCGAGCCCGACAAACAGGAGGGGTGTATGTGGTTGGCGTGCCCCTTGTTGGAAATGCGATTCTCCGCAGCAACGCAGATCTTGTCGTTTGTCGAAGCATATTCGATTTATGCAGGCTCCGCTTGATAGATGTACCCTGTGCGTTTTCTATCTCCTTGTCGCACGTCCCTCGATCAGATTCCCACCGGAAAGGTACGTATCACACGCGGCGATGTTTTTCGAATCTCCAAGCACCCGGCCAACAGAAACCGTATTTCGCCCTTCTCCGCAATGACCCATAGTTTGTGGCCCACCTTGGGCGTTGCCTTCCGCAAGGCTCGCTGAAGTGGTGTTTTTTCGTTGGGAGATCTCGAACGTGTGAAGGTTGGCTGGTAATTCTTGCAAGACGTGCACTTTCTGTGCCCTTTTTCGAACGTTGTCGTCGGGGTTGGCTTGTGGCGTTCGATTTCTCGGTGTACCCAACTGTGTGCCCCCACACTTGCAGCACCTGTTTTTCCCGACACAACGCTATCTTCGGCGGGCGGCATCAGCCGAACCTCGTCTAGCAAACACACACACCGCGCAACATGACACATTTAAGCACCCCATCTCGCCGACCTCGCACCCAAGCCCACACGGCAACCTCTGCGATGGAGTAATTCACCTACGACTCTCTCCGCTGGCCGTCGTGCTCTCCGTCGATCGATGACAACAATGATGCCATGCGTGTCCAGGCGACCTAACGGGGACGGGCGCGTTCATCACCGTCACGGACGTGTTGTTCGGCTTCACCTGCGGGTGCACCTCCGCATCTGCAGGCGAGGGCGACGACGACGAAGCGACTACAACACCGTCCCCCACGGGGACTGAGAGGAGCCTTGACGATACCCCGGCCCCCACCACTTCCTTCTCCCCCTCCTCGCCTGCACCCGTCGATCTTGCCGTTGGCTTGGACCCGTCCACCCCGTCGCCAGAGTCAGACGAAGGCCTCGACACCGCTGCGAATGGCGGGCGAGGCCAGCACGCTGCGCCCGGGGTTTTGTTTATTTTGTCTGGCGTTGGGGGGCTCTTCGTGGGACTGGTGGGCGCGATCGTGGCGGCGCTGTAAGCCGTGCTATATGAGAACGGCCTGACTCGGGAGGAGCAGGGCATTACGGGAGAACCCTGAGTCTCAATACATTGGGCGAAGTAGTGCTGGTGCTTGGTTGCAGTTTTCCCCACCCTGTGCACCTCAAACCTGATTGCTGGCTGCGGATCGTTCTGTATGGGTGTTTGGTTGCCGCTGTTTGGGGGCGCGCTCCGTTGGTAAGTTTGGCCACAAAGGTTTATTGTAAGATTTAGGTGAGGATGTGTCGTGCGTTTGAAGATGCCGTCGCAGTCGCAGTCGGGAGCTCGCGTCATGGCTACTATTTATGCGTATCACTCGACAGGCTTTCGCCAGGACAGGCAGACACAAGTCCAACCGAAGTTTTCATTGTTGGCCATGAAATATGGCGCGAGCCCATAATCTCCTTGTAGAGATCTTGACGAGGGTGTCCCTGGCTACGACATCGTCCTGCTGTTCCGCAAACAAATCCTGTATGGTACATTTGGTCGAGTATGATGTCAAAAGCAAATGAGGACGTGCATTTTGGAAGGCGAAGCTTGTCGTTGCGACCGCTTTCCTCGCCGAGAGGCCTCCGGGACTGACGAGGTCGCAAACAAGATAAACCCAAGCCGAACGGGGGTGTCCAGGGTGCAAGGGACGCCCGTGTTCGGCGCCACAGCAGCAGTAACGCGTTGCCGAGCAGCGGCTTGTTGGTGCAGACGGGAGAGGTTTTCGTTCCGTTGGGGTTTCTCCCCGAGGTCCCGCAACGTTCCGCGTGTGTTGGGGGAAATGCGTGTCAAGCACTAGGTACGTCTAACTTTTGAAAACGGTGGGCACCGTTCCGGGCCATGCTCGTGTTGCAATTGTGACCGCGCTCGGAGCAAACGGTTGGGGTTTTGTCCTGTTTGTTTTGGCCGTCAGTCCCAGAACATCACAAGGAGGGTCAGGAAACCCCTATCCCGAACCGTCAAACCGTTGTCTTTCTCGCACGTCTGTTCATCAGAACGGGCTCTTGGCTGACAGGATGAATGTTTGTTGCGACCGGGCGGAAACCGCCGGTGGTCTCTCAGACAGGTAGGTTCCTGCAATGCAGCTTCAGAGCGATCGACGTCGTAGCTGGACCAACGGAATGAGCCTCTTGGTGGTGTACAGTGTTGCTTGACGGGCAGGTCTCTTTTAGGCTTATGTGTGTTTTGCGTTTTTTCGTCCTATTGATTATGGCGACAGTCCCCCCACTTTATGCTGTGAGACGTGTAGTCTAGACTTTGCTGCACTTTTCGGTGTATTTTTTTGTTCAACTACAACCATGCAGGGTCACACAGGAGGCGGTAAACACCGGGCTCTTTCTTATTTGTTTGTTCGTGCCCCACCTTCCTCCTGCGGTGGATGCTGAATTTTATTTTATCGCGAGAAGAATCCAACCATCCCTTTTCCTCGTCGACGGTGCAAATGTCGAAGGTTGGAACTCACGAGAGTTTTTGTTCAGCTTTCTTTCTTTCGCTTCCACCCACAAAGTTGTCATTTTTTCACCGCATGGGGATTCGAACTCACGACTTTGCCACTAGCGGTTTCGAGGTTACCACTAGACCACCGGGACGACCGGGGTGTGTATACCATAGTTACATCGAAGTGAGTACCATGCCCTTCGCATTAGGGGTAACCGGGAAAGTAATCGCATATTTCTTCCATTAGACAAAATTTTGTGTTCACAGTCTCGGCGTTCCTGGGAGTGGAGTGCAGGGGCAAAGAGCACGATGCGAGAATGAGACCCCAGTAAGTATTTGGGGAATCCACCCACCCACGCACGCACCCCTTTCCTTTCGAAGGTGGAGAAAAAGAGACCGTAGCGATAGTGAGACAAGAAAATGGGAGAGCGCCTTCGGACTTGGTCTTGCTTGGTCATCTCAGACCACCGCGTGCGGAAAGATTAGTTCTCTTCGGCGGTTGAAAGAGAACCCTCGGGTGCTGTCGGGAGGGAGAGAGTCAGTTGTACGGGGAGAGAAGGCACGATAGAAAGGGCGCAGAAAGGTGTCCGCGGGAAACGTCCTCTCTACCAGATTGGAAAAACAATCCCTCCCTCGGGGGTTAAGAAGATAATTCGAAAGCAGTACTGCTGGCATAACCCATACTTGAAACAGAGTCGATAACTTGTTCTCTTGTGTTCTTCAGGGGGATACGAAAATGGCTTCACACGTTCAGCCGTTATGCCCTGCCCACGTTACGTATAGGAAAGGACAGGGTACATATCGGGCAGTGCTGATCGCTTCCCATCTGACAAACCGTGTAGTGGTCGTCGGTGGAAGCGGTTTATGAAACATGGAAGAAAGCGGTCAGCCACGTAGAAAAACTCACCAGAAATAGACTAGATGCTCAATCTCTCCTGAAAGGACACAGCTCATTGGTGGTCCTAAACTGCATTCCCTGTGTCGGTGTAACAACCTGACCCTCCATCCGAAACTGGTGCTTCTTGACAGCCGGCCGGTCGTTACAACAGCGAGTGGCATGCTGCAAGACGTCCATTCAACGTTGCGTAGAACAAGCATAACAAAGACCAAGATATGCAAGGAGCGCAAAGCGTACGGGCAGATAGAAAACGATCATACTCCCAGGATGTGACTGCCAACGTCCGCGATTGCTACACCAGACTCTCGTGGGCTAGACCGGCGAGAGGTATCTACTGGACGAGGAGGCATTCCCGGGAGACAATCTGCTACAGACGACAGGAAAAACAAATACCAGGGCTTCCACTCCTCAGCCAGCGCGGCACAGCGCGCGCATGCTAAGGCCTCCGTTCCAGCCAGACTTGAGAACCCCCCTCCGATAAGCTTCTTTCCACTCGTCCCGCCATCCCACGCAGTCGATCACCACGTCGAAGGGCTCGGCCTTGTACCGTTCGTCCTCGTACCTGCGAAGATGAGTGCAGTCCTGCCGGTGTCAAACGCCTGACGTAGTGGAACACCCCTGGTGACAACGCTACATATCGACGCCAATAGAAAGCATCACTGTTGGGTGTAGCTGAAGGAGGCGCGGTATGGTGTTGTCGGTGACCCTGTTTATTGTCTAAGCGAATTTCCAAGCGTTCGCCTCATGATCAACTGCAAGAAAAATGTCGCCTTGGAGAGAGGTGGAATACTGCGTTCGACACGGTACGTTGTGCGATGGCGCGTACACGAATGCCTCCTGCGATGCCCACGTCGTTGACATCGCCGGCGTTCTCGCCGTTCTGTCGGTATCACAGACGGAAGATATTACCATCCCATTGAAAACTCCGAGCGACACCGCGTCGGGAACCTACTGGCGCAGTCCGCCTTCCCGACAGTATGGCTATGGCTACCAGGCCCCATTCTACAACGAGCCCGGTCGCCCTTGTGGTCCATTGGGTATCCCCGTGAATCTACTCGCAAAATGGTGTGGGTTCGATCTCTCTCAGCAGTGAGCAGTCGGCGATTGTGCGGTGGAACGCGACTTAATTCGAAATATTACACAATACGAGGGAAGGGACTGCAGAACCCTTCTCGTATTGGAAATCGGCGGCAAACACCCAAGGGGTAAGGTGGTTTTTTTTTCCTGTTACCTTCCTCCTGTATGACCCAGGCCGGAATATATTCAGAGAGGTGTACTGTAGACTGGCGCCAGAACCGATTGACGAAGCCACACCGCTGGGGATGGAAGGCAAAGTTCATCACCTCTCGCGGAGATCTCTGCCCCCCCCCCTGTCGACCCCTCCACCACAAACTTGGGCAGCAAGGCACATAGGACAGGTCCGTCTACGAAAGAAGCCTCGCCCATTTTGGAAGTTCTCGCACTCAACCGTTTTGTAGATTTAATTACTGCCAGCCCACACTACAACTGTAACTCCTCCTATGCATCGGAACAGATACGAAACAGAACAGCCAAAATATAACAACTAAAACAACGACTACGTGGAGAAGGAAACGGAGTCGAGATCTGAATCACCAAAGTTGAATGAATTCATAGGACGGGATCTCGCAATGGTCCTGGGGGCTAATGAGGCTTACCAATTAGTCTCGCGGTAGTTGACAACGACATCGGCGCCCAGAGATAGGCACAGGGCTTCGGCGGTGGAGGTGGTTGCCAAAAATGACGCCTGTTGTTGGGGGAACAAGTGAAACACAAGGTTACGCTGCTTATCGTTGTCTGTCTCACAGTGATGCAAACAAGAAGGAAGAAATAAATCACGAACGCACACGTCACCCCCCGTGGCAGCTAATATTGACGTCCTTTCATGGGCCAGTCAGTTTAAGCGGTCGACGCTACAGTTATTATACACACGTAGTCGTGGTTATGGTTCAAGAAGGGGTCGAGGCAAGCCATAAACACTCTCGTAGATCCGGGTTTGTCGTACCCAGTTCTAGGAACTCATCGTCTCATGGCCGCCACAAGCCACTTTTTCTCTGCGAAGACCCGGCTTTGCTGCTAAATATTCCCTCTTAGTTCAATTTCCCCGAAGCCGATACATCTACTCGAGGTCTAAAGCACGCACGTTGTTGTTCACAAGCAAATACGCACCTTGGCGTCTTTGACGAGCTGCAACAGCGCCGAGCCGACGCCGCCGCTGCCTCCGAGTACCATCACCCGGTCCCCTTCTTTCAGTTTCGCCGCCTACCATGATCACGGTAACAGGGGGAAAGAGGATCACCGAACAACCCATCGCTTCGACAACTCCTTTGGGTGTTTTGATGCGCGTGTCTTCTCTGAAAGTAAGAGCATCACTGTTGCAAACTTAAACCTTGGTGGTTTCCTTAGGCTCGAGGGGATACCATCCCACGTAGACTAAAGCAGTCAGCGCTGACTACTTTGGCCGAGAGCATACCCCCTCAACGCGCTGGTATTATATGAAAGTGGCAGACACCAAAGAGAGAGAGAGGGACTATAGGAATCCGCACCACTTTGGTCTATAGGGGATAGTAGCCCCACACTTGACGGGTTTTGAATAATCATCCCACAAAAGTGCGTGAGTGTGAAACCGAAAAAAAAAAGCAGAGCACCACCAACCAAACCTTGGCGGCGTGGAGGCCGGCGATGGGACTGTTGGGCAGCACCGAGGCCTGAACCGGGGTGATGTTAGCTGGTGCCTTTGCGGCGTTATTGGTCTGGACGACGGCGTACTCGGCCAGGCCCCCCGTAGGAGTCATCCCGTTCGTCGCCACGATGCGGTCCCCCACCTTGGGGAAATCATCACGGCAAAGGGTGCTGGGTTAGGGGGGGCGTCTCGTCCGTTTCGCTCTTCCGGTCCGCGACGATGCTTGCTCCACGCACAAAAGCCGCGGTTCGTCTCCGTTTTCGCGACCTCACGACTCACACAGGTCTCATCACCGACACGAGCGTAGGCGTAGCGGTGGGGTCGTAGACAAAATGTGCCTGATGGTTGTATGTAGTTTGGTTCTTCTGATTCTGTGGATTGATATTGTTTCAACAAGGTCGGGTAAGGGGGAGAGAAATCGAAAAACGGGAAAGTGACATGGTACTTGACATGTCCTGATGGGGTGATACAGTTGTTGAACCGGTGTCAATCCGAAACCTGCGTTGGTCCTTCATTTAATGCCGACAATTCCGCCCGAAAGAAGGCAGGAAAAGAAACACGCGGGAAAACAATTGCACAACCCCCAAAAGGGAAAGAACAACAACGGAGAAAAGAAGCACAAGTGAGATTATGCGTTCACAGCAATTGAACTCAAGTCAAAAGTACGACCACGGAGAAGAACGTACCGACCAACGCCTACTAGGAACAAGACGTGCCCGCCCTTTTTCCTGATCTACAGTGGGCATAGTCCCTGCCTCCCGTTGCTGTCTCTGAGCGTGCTATTATAGGGATACTATTGTGGTGAGAGCAACGCACCCTTCTTCACTACACCTATAGAAAGCCACTGATTATTCGTCCTAGGCTCGTTTCGTGCTTCTTCTATGGGGGCGACCCAACATCGGCTTCTAGGTTTTCATGTAGAACTCCTAGCTGATTGCCTGTTCTTGCAGTCAATTTATCACATGCATCTCTATTTGGGCATGACTTCTTATGATGCTCCTAGGTTTTCATGTAGAACTATTAGCTGGACAACTGTCCTTACCTCCAAATTATCGTATGTATCTCTATTGAGGCATGAACTTCTCATGTTGCTCCCTGGTCCATAAGTGTGCTTTCTGTACGCAAGGGAAACGAGTGGCTCCATTCCCGGCGAAGGACGCACAAGAGCTCGGGACACATCGCAACAGCAGGGGCCACGCTGCCAGACGGGGTGTTGCATCCTCTAACGTGCCCGGGTTGTCACTACTTCCGTGAAAAACGCGCTCTCGATGGCACACGCTAGCTTCCGTGCGAGTGAAGTGACTATTACACTCGTCCCAACAATCCTGTTTCAAGGCTTTCGTGGAATTCCGTGAAACGTACCTTGAACGCTTCCGAGTTCTCTGCAACCTCCTCCACCACCCCGCAGATGTCCATGCCCGGTACAAACGGGAGCTTCGGGTTCAGCATCTGCCACGAGGATGAAAAGAACAACGGTTGAAGGATTTAGAGCCTGGTCGCTCACTCTCGGTGCAGCAGCGCTAAGTCCCGGTCGGTCTTCGTGATTCATTCGAGTACAGGGCATGGCACACAAGACAGATATGGATCCCCCAAGACCGTACGGTACAGAGATGTTTCATAGGTTTTACGCCGTTTCGACGGCTGGTTCGATTGGTCCAAACTCTGAGTCGGGAAGAGTTCGAGAGAGAAGTACAAATGGCAGATAATCCAACTGGCAACAAACATCTCAACCAACGCAAGGCTCTTGACGGTGTTCTCAGTCGTAACCCGAATTAGTCAACCAAGACAGCAAGACGGTTGAAGTGTTACATATCGCCACTAAGAACATGAGACAAGCCAGCTGCACCCCCTTTCCATCCCGTACCAGATCGCAGCTTCCTTCCAACATGATGCTGTCCCCCCGGCTGAGCGAACACGCCTCCACCTTGACGATCATGGTCTTGCCTTTGCCTTTCTGGACCTCTTCCGAACCCGGCTTCGGGGCGTCCGACGACATGCTCAGGACCTGTCGCGCGACGTGTTCGTGTAGCAACGGCAGTGCAGCAGCGTGGAGCAGATACTGTTCGGAAACAAACACACCATGAGTGGCATGCGGCACGATTCCATAAAGGGTAGGAGAAGAAGTAGCAGCAGTATCTGACGACGGAAACAAATAACCTCGCCAAGCACGACGTGTGTCCGTAGAGGAGCGGCTTTTTGGCTTCGGACAGGGCTCGGTCGGGGGAGGGAGGATGGCAGGGAGGGCTGTTGGATGTGTATGTTACGTGCGGTGCTACCAAAGCCTCGTGAGACCACACGATTGGATAGTTGTACTTCGTTTAATAATACGCACATGTCCAGCAAGAAAACAGATGGCTGGGCCCGAATATGCCGAAAAGCCAGGCCATGCGGTGCTCAGCAGCAGCGTAGGTGTAGAGGCATCAGACACTCACCACCGCTGGACACGCACACACGGCCGAGGCGGATGCGACCGCGGTGAAAGAAAAAACAAATGCACGCACACACGGACAAAAAAATACAGTTGCATATATTTGAGCTTCTTGCAGGCCCCTGGGTGAGCTGCGCCTATGAAATGCCAACCAACCAGAGAAAGGAAAAACGGCCTGCCCGATGGGAATCTGCAGATAGCAGTTCTCGTGAACCGCCCTGTTCCACCCGGTCCTCTATGCATTATGTTGCGATACACCCTTCGTTCACCGTTCGTTCGTGGTTTTGTAACCAGCAGCCATGGAACAGAGTAGGGACCGAAGTAGAGATTACCACTTTTTGGCAGACGTGAAGTACAAAGAAATACAAGGAAGAACACTCGCCTCGTCGATGTTGCCACCTAGGGCGCTGCATTCGATGCACTTCATGACAGTAGTACCAGCGTTGGCAGCCAAGAGTTCTCAAATATATCCCCTCTTGAGCGATGAAGAAACCTGCAAAAATAGAGGTACAGGCGCACAAATTTCAGCGTTTCCTCACGACTGGGCAGGGAAAGGAAAGCCTTTCTTGGATTTGTTGCATGTTTTCGTAAAACTGCGCCGCACTTCTCGGCATCTGGTTATGCAGAGAGGTCCAGGTATCTCACGTCCTGATAACACAACTATCCCACTCAAGATCCGATAACGTATTCATGCGGGCAGCTGAAGAAACTGACCTCGAGCACAGGCACGTCACAAACACGTATGTGGGGCCCCCACCCCACACCGTTGCCCTCAGGGACTACTTTTCGTGACTCTATGCATATGAACGCTTACGTGGCAGATACTAATGTACGTGGGTTGTGATGAGGAAGCAGTCAGTTCGGCGACGACGCAATATATCTACAGTAGCTAACCTACCGCTGCCTTGAATTCATGTTGGCCACCAACCACATAAAAAAACTGCGGACATAACGAAGATGATGTTTGTTCCCACAGCCGTTGAGACAGGAGCGGTGCGGAATGTACAGCAGTGGTGGTACCTGATCCCATGAACTATGAGCTAAAATACTCCAAACTAAAGGGAGACGTGGCCTGGTGCATGGCGTATGTGTCGTAGATAAAAATTGCACAGTAAATAACAACATGCCCGGAGGTGGCGACCCTCAACTTTACAATGGCTGGTATCCGTGTTTAGTCCCAGAAAGCCTTGACAGGCGCTACAAAGTTAGTGTTATGGTAGGTTGCAGAATAGGGGCCGCCCGAGAGTTTGAAGTCTCGACGGGGCGAGTGGTATCTAACATTGATTTGGTCAACCAAAGTTTTTCAGGCAAAAATGTTTCGGCTAGAAACGGGTGACTGACGCCCGCATTTTGTCAGTCCGGATGTGTGCATCACGTCGCATTTCTACGTCGCTCAAGAGTGGAACCGCACGGAACGTACGGTGGACAAGTTCGCAGGAAATACCGTCTTCGCAGGCCGAACGCAAGGGTTCACGGAGTAGAGGGAGAAAAAGCCAGGGTCGGGCTGAGAGTGCTGTAAGCATACTAATATTGCTGTAAGCATACTGATGCTTGTCCCAACTTGTCCAAACACGTTGTCCAGGTCTCCGAAGGGCCCTGAGACTGCGCATACAAGGACAGAACAACTCTGATCAGTTAAAGGAATTCAAAGATAAAAAAAAACATCCCTCCCCTGGGGTGCTGCAAGGGAAAGCAGCAAAACCAGCTTGTCGGCACCGTCTATTGGCTGAGGTATGTATCGACGGACGACGCGATTTACTTGCTGCCACCAATTATGCCGCAAGATATGAGTTCAGTCAAGCCAAACTGGCTCCAAATACGAAGTTGAACACGCTGTGCGTTTGATACATCGATTGAGTGTATGTACCACCAAGGGCGGAAGCCGTTCGCAGGTTACGTCGATCTGAAAAACACCCAGTGATGCACCTCTCTCCTTAGTCTACACCGCAAATATGGAGAGGTGAACTGGTGGGGAATAGACCGCGCGTGCACTCTCGCTGGGCTGCCTTGGACATGGGACTCTCGGCCAAAGAACTTATTTTTCGTGATTCCGCCGCGTTTCTGGTGACCCTGCAGACTCGTGGGGTGAAATCGAGGTGGAGCAGCAGGGAAGTTCGACAGAGGGAGGAAACTCCCCGTACTCCCGAAAACTCAGGCTGGTATGCATCGTTGGGTTGCACGCAGTCCCCCTCTGTCGCTAGAGAGAGGGTTTTAGGGGAATACTGAGCGTCGGAGCTGGTAAAAGCAAGCAGAGTTCTTCCCGTTTTCCCGCCCGCTCTCTAGTGCCGAACTACAGTACAGAGCAGAGAAACTGCTGTGCCTGCGAAGTATCGCACTACTGTGTAGCTGCTGTTGCCACTGTTTGCTAATGCATCATGGCAAATGCGCCCACCAAGCAAGGTGGCTCTGGGCAAACTCCATCTGTTACAATATCGGGCGCTGAAAAAAACAGTCTACCCATGCCAGTGCATACATACATGATGAATACCTTGCGGTGTTTGCCGTACCTCGTGCGCTTGAGTAGCGTGCCTTGGGAGGTGCAGCGGTAGATGAGCGCGAATAGGTGACAGGCTGATCGCGTACAAGGCGACCTCGGGTTTAACCTCTGACGTCGTAGACACCGGGTTAAAGCTATATATGTGTGGTGTGGAGCGTGAACCCAGGTAGATAGACGAGGTGGAGAAACACAAAATGCCGACACAGCCGAAACAGGGTTCAGACGGGTATCCGAACGTTCCTCGGTTCGTTCCCCCGATAGGAATTTCCGCATCGACCGGTGCGTGTGATGCACCCTGCAACTTAAATGTCACCACAGGGCAGCATACTATCCTCCTCCCTCGACGTAAAATGCGGATTTCTCCGAAAACGCCGCCCTTATACCTCCATCAAAAGCCAACGAAGCCAAATAGGCTTTCGACCAATCTCTTTCGCGAAAAGAGGGTGGACGGCGACCGACAAATGATATTATTTGTTGTACGTCAAGATCTGGTCTACTCCGCAGACCGCTTGTATGTTGGTTTCACACCCCTGCCGTCTCCTGCCAACGTTGTTTTTTTTTTGCTGTTGTACGTCCGTGTACTTCATGCACACACACTTACACACAGAGGTAGAAAGATTCCCGGATCCCTCACCATTAGCAACGTGCCGTGCAATGCCATACAAAGCGCGCCACCACTACATATATATACGTAAACACCACACGAATCACAACGCTCTACTTGCCACCACTCAATCACTCTAAATCGACTCCACTACACATACCTCGCCGAACGTGAACGTTTGGCCGAGCATGCTGCAGGCCCTGCAACGGCAACCTGCAGACCTACAGTCTAACGCTGATTTTCCCGAGTTGCATAATAATAAGATCAGGTAGGATCGTTTTTCTATTCCGGAAAAATGCAAGGCCCCTAGGCGAGGTCCACCTAACTAGATTATGTTACGGGGCCTACTCCACACACACAATATGTTACAGTAGTCTATGCTCCATCCAGTGCTCACGTACGAGACTGGCTGCCGGTGCGAATCTTCACTGAAAACTCCACAATAAGAAGCTGGACGGCGATACACGTGTGGTCGCATTGATCTCGTACTGACTACGATCACACTAAAAAAGTACACAGAAAACTCCTTCGCCTGCGTTTCCGCGTCCTCAGTTATCCCCACATTACTACAGTAGTAGTAGTCCTCACCGCAATGATCGATATCACCCCCACATCCGAAATCTAGACTATTCACATGTAAGTGTAGCCCGGATCTCCGGGAGAGTACGTAGTTCCCGTGGGGCACGACACGGCATTGGCAGGGGTGCACCCTGTTCAAGAAACGCGCAGAATGCAAGAGGATGTTGCGGTTAACGGCACAACAAACAATGTAGCAGAGACAACGAAATTTGCCAAGAAAACCAACACAGCCCGGAGCCATTCCACGACGAGTAGAAGCAACCCTACCTTGTGGTGTGCTCGGTGTAGCTGTCTGCAACTGAAGCACGCTTTTGCTGCGATGGTTCACCAAAAATCTCGGCCGGATTGTGCTCAAATCGCCAAACTTCAAGCACCTCGATCTCGCGCTACAAGGTCTAAACTGAAAAGCCGCACAGTTTTGATCGACGGGGTTGCTCAAGCTGGTATGATTTCTCCAAAAGATGTAGAGGTTTGTGTCTCCTAGGGCTAAGCGCGACAGGTGATAATTTAGATTGTTTACGGCAGTCGGCGGGGAGTCGGCGGGGGCATCGCTCGGGATTTCTTCTGGATGTAGCAGTTTGGCCTGTGAGAAAAATAATAATATACTTGAGCACATGGTTGGGAGAAAAAACACCATCACGGAGCCCTGGGGGCACAGGTGGCGGCGAGGAGCCTGGCGTGGCCTTAACGGCAACGACGAAGTGTTTGGATACTCTCGAGGACCCCTCCGGTGGTAGAAGACTCCGATTGGCAACTTCACAGGAGGACAAGGAACGTTAGACTACGCACTCACCGCAGGTGCCTTCCTTGTCATCGAATTTGACGTACGGTGCAGAGCTGCAAACAGGCTGACCGACCAGGACACCCACGTAGGGGCATGACCGAGCAATAAAAATGAGGCGAGAGTGCATTGCATCGTGTAAAGACACCAAGTGAGTCTTGGACGCGAAACACGACATGACGTATGTCGATTGTTGAACGTATCCACCAGCGTGCTACCCGGAACGCATTAGTCAAAAAATCGAATTCAAATCACTCACAGGAGTTATCGCAGGACGGCAACAGCAGCTAGGTCATGTGTTCAAAACTATGCTATTGCTTATTGATATTGCTTGCTACGAGGCGTGCCCATAGACTATGCCAATGAAAACCGCGTGCGAGTTTCAGGTCCCTGTATCTGGAGCTACTTTTTCGCATCTTACCTGTCAGGGAGGCACTGCATGCGCGCATTCTTGTTTAGCCGCCTGCGATCAAAGACCAAAGGAGTTGAGGAAGAACGACGGAAACAGACGGACATGTTGGGCAAAATCTGCGGATTGCAGTACAATACCAGTAGTTTACAAATGTGAGGACCTCATGCTGAGCTGAGCCTTCTTGTTCTCAACCTCTCTCTCTCGCTCTCTCTCTCTCTCAAAACATGTCTAAGTCCAGGTACAACCAACCGTGCTGAATACATAGCCAAACCAATCTATTTAAAGCTACCGGTGACTCACAGTTGCTCCAGCGATGTCATCGGTTCGAAGAGACCGGCAGGAGGCGTCGTGAGCGGGTTGGTCGGCATGCCCCTTTCCAAAGCAATACAAACAAACACAGGCGGAAGAGCCAACAAGCGGTCGGCGGTTTGTTGAGATCTTGGTAAACAAACTACAGGTTTTCGATCTATTCCAGTAGATACCAGGCCGAGCAGTGACGCAACGCACCATCTCCTGTCAGAACTTGTACCGCGAGCGTACTTGCCTTGTTTCACAAGTAATTATTCCCCGCCTTTCGAAGCTTCTAGAAATTGTGGTGACGATGAAAGACTTCTTCAAAATATTTTCCCGATTGGGACGGCCGTACCCGCATCCGACAACCATGGTGCTGTTTGTTTACAGCACTCCTTTACCCGCCCTGGCGTCGAGGTGTGATTCGTCTTCATAAATACGATGCGTAGAGCAACAAAATCTTTCGCAACATGTTGTCGGCGCACTACACCGCTATCCCTGTAACCATAGAGGGCGCCGGCGGTACCTCGAGGGATACTTGTTACACCCAAGCCTGCTTCCCGTATGTTTCACTAGCAAGTAGCAGACTTTCATGGAGCGCATCGAAAATTCCGAGCGGTAGTCTGGTTGTTGTACAGATCTCTGCAAACACCGGATGGGTACTTTCATTATGTAACATCTCACCGAGTATCCTCGGAGTTTGCACCTCTGCCACAAAGCTTCGATCCGTGGATACACAGTACGACGTTCAACACAAGTCTCGTCGGGAACCGAACTCCTACATGATTGCTGGGGTTCCATACGTTTGCTCCGAGGTCTTCGTTAAAAAGTGAATGTGTGTCTTGCGGGATACCATTCTCGAATGGGGGCTTCATAATCCAAAATAATACATCAACTAGTAGTGTGACTCACCTGTTGCCTCAACTGAGCGTCACTCACATCTGTCCGAGCTTATTGTTGTACTCGAATTGGGGTGAGTCGTCAGCTCAGGGTTTTTCTGAATCCTCCTGTTCGGCAGCAGCAGTGGCTTGTCGTCAGAGGCCATTCAGCCAACAACGATGACAGAACGCAAGCTACACATTGAATCTAATGTGGGTAAATGTCAGAGCGGGCGGGACATCTTTGCGCAACAATCGCTGAAAAAACCGGATGCCACCAACCGGGAGCATGGCTGCCAATGGGCTAGTATGAAAGCAACAACAGGTGATCTCATCCATGGCCTTCAGGAAAGACGACCGCAGTTGGACAAACGCGCAGGTTTAGGCAATGAGAGCCTCCATAGGTATGTAGCAGCTCGTCCGTGGAGAAAAAAAAACATATTTTGACTCCACGGAACGTCGGGTTGGTCCAACACGCCCGTCCATCCATGCAGATGCGCGCATACTTTGAGTACCACATCGCTGACCCCGGCCTTGTCCGTGGAACGTTCTTGTCGTCATATCCACAGGAGGGTGCTTGTGAACAATGGAATCGACATAATTTTCCCACTAGCAACACGTTATGTAGCGGGGAGACAAGCCAATCCCAGAGGTCAAGAACGCCTTAGCTCGGGCTCGAGCGTTCGAGCTTTGAGCTCCTGGCCTGTGTGTGGAACGAGCCTGTACCGTCCACACCACCACATATGCTTTACACGATAAACCAAGGCTACCACGGTCAATGTACAACATACCGGAATTGAACAGGACTTGGGTGTGTTTTCTTGCCGGTGTAAATGTGTGAGTTTCGCCTTTGCGTGTTCAACGGCAGTATTCGAGTGGAAAAGAAATGTGTCCACGTAGGTCACGAAACAACTACTGTGAAGACTTTTGCAATCACTCACACAAATCCAATGTTGTGAATCACCGCCAAGAGATCAGCAGGAAGCTCCGTCAGCTTTGGGCAGGCCGCGATGCCCCTATAGTATGGGACAATGATGGAAACAAAGAAGGCGCGTAGTAAAGCACGTTTGGCAGCATAAAAAACGACCCATTTCTGAACCGACGTTGGTCGCAGGCACACTGGCGGCCACACGCATGGGTAGGCATCACAACAATGACTGCGAGGGGGAGAGAGCCATGTCGACAATATCTTGTTGCATAGGCAACTCAACAGCCAAACACGTATGCATGACAATGTACCGGCTAATCCTAGCGTTGTGTGCAACTAGACACGTGATTGGTGATGACTCACACGTGTGCAAGCGAAGAGGAGCCGAGGCCGTCGAATAGTCCCGAGTTGAGCGTCTTGACCTTCGTGCTGGAAATCACCCTGTATGGTGAGTACCGTACACAACGATACATCAAAGTGTTTCCACCAAGACGAGCACGAACAGTCTTTGTGATAGCCAGTCGGTCGAAGGTATTTGCAGAACAGATAGAATGAACGGTGCAGAAAGTCTCGACACTGAGATGAAGAAGCAATCGATAGCTGCTTGGGTGGTAAACATAGATCTTCGTAAGTCAATCTTTGGCCCATGAATA